GTTTTAAAAAATTGCTAATTTTTCAATTTCACTGGATATCTTCTCGATTTTCAAATATTCAGTTTTTAAACGATATTTCCATTAATTAGCCATTTAAAAAAAAAAAAAGGAATTATTTTAGTCAATCCTCTTTGCCGCCGAGGTTCGGCCAACAGTTCTCATTTTAGCCGATAATTGATAATGGCGCCATCTTTCCCCTGGGGTCTTACCAAGTCCGGCTTGAAGTCGGCTAACTCGAAAAACCGAGTCTCTTTTATCTATACTGTTTAATTTCATGTCATGCCGTAAGTCGTTTGTAACTTGCGGTTGTACAATGATAAATTTCATCAAGTTTTATGAGGTACCTAGTTATCACCATTGACAATGACAAATATTTCAAATACTGACGTCGTCCGCTGTTGAAACAATCGAGGTATGACAACAGTTATTTATCTGTTTATTCCACTGGAAAAATCAATGAATACCGATATTTCTATACTCCAGTGTTAGCATGACATTTGTTTATTTTGATAACTTACATGGTGTGACTATTTAAATCGGCATTTAAATAATGCCTTCGGCAGTGGGATATTACTGCGAAAATGGGTACACAATTTTTGGTTCGGTGTGGATTTTTATGAGCGATGTATTCTGGAGTTTTCTCATTGGGCCCTTGGTTATGCGACACCAGAGTCGTAAAGTCATGAAGTAGACTATTTCCACGACTGAGAGAAAACTAAAACCCATGAAGAGACCGAGGAGTCCTCCGATATTTGCTGGAGGTAATAGAAACAAATCGAATTATCAATTGGCGGAATATATCAGAGAAATAACTGCAAAAGATTTCCCTTTTTAAATCCTTGCTATTTTATTCTGAATACCGAATAACGCCGATACCAATAATTAGTAACATGTAATTATAACAAATCTAGGAATGACAAGAACCGGAAACTTGACTTCTGCTATTTATTTCCAATATTATATATCGGATAAATCAACAAGTTCAAAATAGTAATTGATTTTCGAATCGTCTTCGCTATGAAATTTAATTTTGGAGCACCAAAAATAAATATTAAAAATGATTTACATTTGACATTAAAAAAAATTGAATGGTGATGCAAATTAAAACCCAATGGATTCATAAAAGAATAGAATAGTTGTACTCACATAGAAATTCAATGAAGCCGAACAATTCGCTCTTCACTAGATTCGGGAATTGAGACTCGACGAAGTAGAGATGAATCACAGCCATATTTTCCCTGAAGTAATTAAAAAATGAAAATGAGAGATAAAGAAGTTATCAACGCAGAGTTATTTACGCATAAACGCAAGAGAAATTAATGAGCGACTAGTTACGTAAAGTATTCTTGGTCCGTGTTGTTGAGGTAGAGTTCGTCGACAACAAATGCATTCGACAATTTACTCTGGGATATCTGGGTTTCGTAATTAGTCTCGAAACATGCTGGCCAGCAATTGCAACTGGGCCTGCACACACATTTATCGATTAATTCTCTCGGATTCGGTTTTTACACAATCCTTTTATTTAGAATGTACTCACGACTCCGAACGATTTAATCTGTCCAAAGCTTCTTCATCATCATACAAATTGTTTTCCATCAGCAATCTGGCATCTCTCGCACATTTGTCGTCCTTTTTCCCGCAAATCGGAGTATTCGCTGATTCTTCGAATATCGGAATAATTCTTTACTCAAAAGAAAAGACAAAAGAAAAAATTCGCAATTGCATCCAAGTGCTTTTGCATTTCATGTATTCACTACTGAATTATTTTCCTCAATTTTTCGGGATTGAGATTTTTCTAAATTTTAATCAATTGAAGGAGTCGATTAAACGCTGGGAAATTATTGTACGATTAACAGGTTATCAGAAAAAACGCAAAACCCGATATTTTCGGCTAAAAGGGGGCCCTACGTCCTTGAGTGATAAAAAAATGAAATAATTATTATTAAATTATGGAAAAATCACAGTAAAAAGCCCTTGGATATGATCAAACTCAAAATTCTCACATACTTGGCATGTAATACTGCACACAATGACACTGACTCTGCGTAAAATTGGCCTCACACTCCAGAAGACAATTTCTCTCAGTGTAGGTTCGATAATACTTGAGTTTACGTTCAGTGGTGAAATAACACTTCCTCTTCTTCCTGGGTAATGAGAGTATCGACCAGCTAGCGGACGATATCCGGGGAGTAATGATGACATTAGTCTCAACCCCAGGACTTATCGCGAGGCTAAAATCCGCGATTTTCGGTGTCTCTATGGGACTGTGGAGGAGAAGCTTGAAGCCAACACTGGCTGTTGACGAGCAGTAATACTCTTTCAATTTAGCATCAAGAACAATTGTCAATCCCAGGTATCTCCCAGCACCGTAGGGCCTCCAGGGCTGCGTGTCTGGTGCCACTGAGGTGTCGTATCCACTCTCTGGTTTCCAGTCAATCGTTTCGAAGTCGTATTTTATGTTTAAATCGTTCCATTCCAATCTTAGACAGGTATTCAACATAATTCAGGACTCATTACTCACTTTTACTATTTGGATTGTTATAACGAGCCCATATAATAAAAAAAATCCAAAAACTCAATGTATCTTCAATTATTCGCTAACGATTCGATGTAATTTATTATTTTTTCAATAATTATAGATTCGTTTATCGATCCACACATTCTGTTGTAAAACGGTAAACTAGGATAAGTGCATTTTTTCGAGGCGAGTTTTCAGCCAATATCTCGGAATTGAATGGAGATAACGAATTTTTTGTATAAACATTTTTTATAGAAAAAGATTAGAGCTACAAACATGGTGGTTATGAAAATATCGTTATCTTCCTTCAGTTTCGAGATATTGATTAAAAACTGGCCTCGAAAAAAATACAATTATCCTCGACTTCGCAAGGAAATTTATACTTTAACTTTCACAAAAATCTAATGCAAAATTAAATAAAAACGCTAAAATCGATGAAATTAATGAAATAATAATAATAAATAATTAGCTAATTAGTATAGATAAGTATATAATGATGGAGGCTTTTCTTGTATAAAGGCAACCACGATTTCCCATTTGTTTTCGATCTTCGTTATTTGAATTTGTACTTACGGATTATAGAACAGGTATTTTCTGTGGACGGCGTTGAAATTGCAACACAATCCCTCATCGGTGAGAATCGGATTAAATATCCTATCGCATTCGGTAACATTCTGATGCCAAAAGCAATAGCGAAGCAATTCTTCACAGGGTTGAGAGACCTTTGAACGAGCTCTTCCAAGTGAATTGAGCTTTACTCACAGTTCATTACTTACGTTCAGCATGAAGCGGAGAACGTTGCTCCAATTCGCTGAACCAACCACGTCGCTGTCCATTGAAGTGTTTCGGAAATTGCAGATGTCCTCCAGCAGAAGCTTCTCGACGCTGTCGTTTCTGTTCGCATTTGATCATTCATATTCATTTCAAATTAATCATTTGATCAGAGATGTGCAAAATTGCCACTTTGTTTTATGTAAATACCTGCGATAATTCCAGATTACATAAAAACGATAGAATAGAATATAATTTCATTCTAATTGCAATTTTTTTCTGGGCTATCCATTTTTTTCAGTAAAAATTTCTTGTCAAATTTATATTGACAATAAATAATAATAGATTATTTGAAAATAATTTGATTGTGTATTAAAGGGAAATGCGTTTTCAAGGATTAAGAAATTATTTTGTTGAATCAAGAAATTTTTTTCTCAGTGGACTAAAAGGTCATTTTCACATCTCTAGTTCTAATTGATAATGACTTCTTTGGGGACCATCACCCTCTGTTGATGCGAATGGCTTCTTCTCGATTAGCGTTGTTCATGTTGCAAACAGTGACTGAGGGAAATGGGAATGCTGTCAGGGCGACAGGCTCAGGACTTATGGAAATTATTATTGGAGAGTTCTGCCATTTCTGGTAGAGGTGCCAGATGAAATAGGCCGCTGTTAGAACTGCACAAGCGAAGGCGATGATCCAAAAGAGTCTAGTCAAATTTTAAAATGGATTTCAATTATTTATGCTGAGTTATTGCGGATATCTTCGAATTTTTCAATTTTTTTGAAAATTTCTCAAAATGTATAAAAATAAACGCATGATTATCAAAATTTCTGAGTCATTGAAGACAATTATTATGATTATAACTTTATGCAATGTTTTAATAAAATAAATTTATCAAAAACATGAAAAATTAAAAGATATCGGCAAAGGATATAATTCCGCAAAGATATTTGAAGATGAAATGATATTTGAAATATTAATCCATGACTGAATATTATTTAAAACAATTCATCAATATGACAGGTAAAATGGACATTTTCCTGGAATCACCTCTCCAGAATATGAAGACTCTTCTCTCCAACGTATTTCAATCCATGAAGGCTGCTGTTAGCACAATATTGCTCAGTAAACTCCAAATGTCTGAAGTTTTTCCAGCACGCCTGCAAGTGACTGTTCCTCACAAAATACTCCCCTTTCTCATAATCTTTCCTCACTCGTGATTCCGTGTTTCTCTTCACCGAGACGTCATCCAGTGTCTGGAAAATAATTTGAATTACCACTCGTGGGGAAAAATCCATCAACTTAACTCCTCATCTGGATACCTTTTGCAAAAAACCCGGGCGAAGTTTAACCGCTTCGTTTTGCACATTTCTCCATCCTTCGAATTTCTGGGAACTCTTGTAAGGATTTTGCAAATGCACCGAGTTTATAGAGAACGGTGGAAAACTTTCCGCTGCCTCTTTTCCATGTGAAAGCCCATGACCGTTCTTGCTGCTCTCGTTGAACTCGTTAATGTCATTACGAAAAGCTCGTGCACGTCTCAAATATGTCTCTGATGTCATTGCTGAAGCCACGATTTTCACCTCATCCGAATTTTTATCCACGGTTTTCTCGATTTTCGTTATATGGAGATTATCCAGGAATATCTGACACTGACGAAAACAATTTCCCCAACTATTATTCTATTAATTTATTAATTACGTCTAAAAGCCTAACTACCAAAAATACTAAATTAGATTTATTTCACTTTATACTTTGGGTCTTAAATTGAATGGTGAATTAATCGGATTCACGGGGATATCCCTAACGAGTTGACGAAGTACTGAGGTGTTTACGATATAAACTCCTTGACACTTGTGCCAGTACCTTCTCGAGAGCTTCGATGCCAATGGGGGTCGATGTTAATAGTTGACCAGTGGAGTGACAGGTGTCCTTTTGCCTCATCAACATGCCTCTAGTAGAGGCTTTCGTGACCGCTGTATCCTTCCACCTGCTGCTATCCACGTGGCTGGATTTTTCCACAGACCCACTTGCTGCATCACTATCATTTCCAGGTCGTAAATCAGAAGGGGCAGCCAATTCACTTGTCATTCTACTCGGCATTTTTTTTATTGAATGAAGGGAGCACTTGTGAAGACAATCCCCCAGAGACTATTCTCCCTCCATTCACCTTTGTTCTTTTAATTTAAATTCGTGCACTCGAGCGTTTACTCGAGATGCCAAAAGTGCGATAAAAAATTGTAGGAGATGATAAAAAATGATAGGAAATTATAGGAAATAATAGGAAATGATGGGGAATGATGGTAAAGATACCCTTCGCTTCATTCATTCCATGCTGGAGTGGCAGATCAATATGATTACCTGGAAATTCCCAAATATCTGGAGGAATTTCGCAATTGCATCAGCGAATAGTCAATAGAGAAAACTCACTTCAATCATTAGCACAAACGTTGATCTGTTGGTGAGTGGACGTGCTGGGACAATATTGATCCTCAGACAGTACTGAGGTAATTAATAGCACGAGTATATGGCCATGTTTATTTACATGTTCATTTACTGCGAAATAAATTGAGAATCGATGTCGCTTATCGCTCTTTTAATGGAGGATTGTCTTTTCAAACTCGGGAGAATTTTTTGGGGGAAAATTTCAGGTGATTAGATCGCGGGAGGAAAATCGAGTGATGATATGTAAATATTCGGTCGGGATATTCGTGACGCGCTTTGATGACCGCAAAATAATTACGTGACAAACTTTGCTGGTTATCGGTAACACCGAGCATTCTTACTTCTTTAGTCGCGTGACATTGTGATCTAGAAATGTCTCTTTTTATATCAGCAGTGGGCGAAATGTTGACGGTACGAGTCCCTGGGCAATGTCAATCGATTAATTATGATGGAAACCCTCACGATGTACTGTAAAAAGGTAGATAATACGGGAATAATTGCCGATTAATTTTAGGGGATTAATTTTACCGGATGGAATTCGTGGGCTTTGGATTGCGACGTCCGTCGAATTATTGACTAATTATTTCGCCTTTACTCTCTGTGTTATTTCGAGTTGAAAATCCTTGTAACAATTCTAGTATTTATTCTTTTTATTGTTATAAGTATATTAAATGTTTAGTTGAATGGAGTATTCAATTTATTACAATAATTTACAAATATTAGCGATCGCTTGACGTGAAAAACTCAATTTTATGAATTCTCAAGGGGAAGTATGAGTTCTATGAATAATTCGATCTCAAGGATGATCAGGTGCTTCCCTATTTTTTTCTTGTAATCCTTATCTATATTTATATTGTATCTCAAGGTTTTTAATTTCTGCATTTATTCATGAATTTTAAACTGTTGCGAAATATTTTGACAAACTGTTTGCGAGAAATTCATAAAAAATGAATATTAAAATCGAATAGAAGTATAAAACTCCAGATTAATTAATGATCTTAATGAATTGATTGAGATGATGTATAGGTGAAGGGAAAAGGGGATTGGGTTAAATGTTGGATTTGGTTGCAGGGAGTTCTGTTGAAAAATGTCAGAAGCAACAGCCACGAGTGGTCAGGATGAGGAAGAAAAGAATTTCGAGGGGTCCCCTCACCTGTCTGAGAATCTATCAGAGGAGGTGGCGAGTATGTGGGAGATACCCCAGATGTACCAGTTTTTGTGTCTGGCAAAGGAGACACTCGGTATACAACACCTGTCCATGTACGAAATGGAGAGAATGCTATTGATGCCGAAGGCATCCAAACAACTCGCCAGTATCATGACATCCCTTTTGTGCCCACCAATGCCAAAATCCAAACTGCGAACTATGCCACCGATGCCCTATCAATTCTGGACGAATTTACTCACACAGAAGGCACTCGGTTGGTTCAAAGTTTACCAGAGCAAGGATGGCGATACGGTTAAAGTTTTGGAGACAATCGGGGTTGAGCCGGAATTCTGGAAGATATTTTCCCATCCTGAACTCATAAGTGAACGTAAATTTGACAAGTTGAGCCTGAGGGAGAGGGTGTGGCTACTTAAAACCGTCTGTGATACTTTGATACACTCTCGACGCTCCCTCCAGGATGAAATCGTTAGGAATTATTTAGATGACGACAGTGAGATGGTACTTGGAAAGGACAGGCATGGCGCGAGGTACATTTATTTTCCAATTTTCCTGGATAACGATCTCAGGGTGTATCGTCACTGTCTTGATAATAAGATTTTATTGAGTCTCAAACCGGGCAAGAGGGAGGCTAAACCCAAGCCTGAAGTGCCCACCGAGAGGAAGATGGTGAAGAGGAAGAGGAAGAGCTGGAAGTATGGGAAATTACCGACTAAATCGAAAAAACGCACTCCTAAGAGTGATAAGGATAGAGGGGAGGTGAAGGGGGAGGGAAAGGAGAAAGTTGTGAGTGAATTGAGGGAGAAAAAAAAAGCGAAGAGGGAAAACGAGGGCAAGGGGACAGAAACGAGGCATAAAGTAGAGGAACGAAATTGTGATGCCAAAGCTCCGGATGGACAGCCGAAGAGTGACGAGAAAATTGGGAAGGATGTGACAATTTCTGGACCAGAAAAATCCACTCAACCTCTCGCCAAGGGTGATACCACTTCTCCGGCAGGGGAGTCTCGAGTTCTCAAGGACGACGTCTCCAACTGCTCGAAAACTGATGACGAGAAGATCAGTGAGAAGAGGGCGAGTCCACTCCTGGGGAAAAACTTGGATCAGTCGAAGAGTGATGACGAGAAAATTGTCGAGACGAGGGCATCTGGGAAAACGGAAAGGGATGAGTCTAAAGAGATATGTGAGGAATCCACTAGTACTGAGGGTAATATTGGAGAATGCATTAGAGAGACAGCTCGTGATGCTGATGACAGTACTCTTGATATGGAATTGAAGAGTGTTTCCAGTGTTGCGTCGAAGAAGGAAATTGAAGAGTTCAAACTTATGATAACGGATCTGGGGGAGTCGAATTTCCGGCTGGTGGCTGATGGCTTGGACGCACTCAAGGATCTGGTGGCGTGTTTCGTTGCGCAGAACTATCCGGAGGGACCTGTAAGGATCATTTTATTTTTGGAGATTTCATAGAATTTTTTTTATAGTTTTTGAGATAATCAATTTAATTAATGAAATTGTTTTCAGGGGACGGTGGCGTGCGAGCTGCAGCTCATCAAGAAACTCAATGTCATGATCAAGGAGTTGGAGAAGGTCGAGGCAACTCTCAAGTTGTCGAAGATCGAGGCTAAGGAGAAGTTGCAGCTTGAATGGGATGATTATCAGGAAAGGTAAGCCATGAGTTATTAGTCATGTATCGGTGTTATATTTATCTCAATAATAAATTCATGACAGTGATAAGAATGGGGGCCAGCCAGCTGATGGGGAGAAGGGTTCTAATACATGGATTATTGGATCGCAGGGGTGTCCTTTGCTTGCGAATGGTGACACGTTGTCACAATCCGGTGTGGAGGGGCAATTCAGTGAGGGAGGAGTGAAAATTAAAATTGAGAAGAAGGATCCTGACGAAGAAAGCAATGGTAAGTTCACTGATGAATTTCTGTATTTATTCAATTTATTTTCGATTACTAATATCAATTTGAAATTACAATTATCAAATTCACTTCAATTTTTACTGAAAATCCCTTGACAATTTTTTTCCACGAGGTTTTGAACGCGAAATTTTTGATGCGGGACATTTCCAATAATGCACTTAAATAATTTAAATGTCATTAAACCGTTCTCCTCTATTCTCTATACTCTCTCCCAGGCTCAGAGCGTGAAAGTCGACGAGTGCTGCGTCGTCGGGGAATCTCATCCTACCTGGAGCCATTCTTCACCTCCTCCGAGGAATCAGACCAGAGTGATCTAGACGGCTATACAGGGACAGGAGTTGAAGTGCTGCCAGTTCCAACAGGGCACGTATCACCCCCAGCAGAGCCAACCCCATCCCGTCCCCGTGGTGAGAACTCAACAGCCGACGACTCAGACCAAGACTGGATTCTCCCAGGTTCTCGTAAACGCAGGAGAAAACGCTCAAGCCCAAGTAAACGCTCCAAATCCCTCCCCCACAAATCACAGCCAATAAATTCACACGGTTCAACAACCCTCCACCCAGCGAGCGATCCAATTAGCACCGATGCAAAAACCCGAATTAATCCCGTGAATAATGCAATGTCCATTCGCCCAGTGAATAAAATAAAAATAACGAGTGTCCACTCGGAATTGGATATCAAGGACGAGGGTCCAATAATCGATACTGTAACCAGTGCAAGTGATAATTCATTGAGCAAGGGTGTACAGCAGAACTACGTCCTAGTCAATACAGGCAATGGCCCAGTAAATTACGTAGTGATGCCCCAGGATAATCCTCAGTCACAGCCAGCCCCAATGGTGTCGGTTGTGCCACCAGTGCAGCCACAGAATTACATACAGAGTTACATTCAGAGCCCAGGGGGTTACATCGTGCCCCACGTGGCGCCTTATCGTCCACCCTATCCCAATCCACCGACTCTCCCACCGATGATAATTCAACCGGGACAAGTGCTGCAGCAGCCCTACGTCCAGCAGCCCAACAACTACGTACAGTACCAACAGGCGGTGCCTCCGATGACTGTGTCCTACCCTGGGCCAGTGCAAACACCTGTTTCCCAGTCTATGGCAGGCCCTCGACAGCAAACACGAGAAATTCAGATTCGCTCCGTTGGGCCTCCACCACGACCCCAGCATCCTGTTGGTGCTGTTATCAGAAGTGCGTCTGTTCCATTCAGGGGTGCATCCAGACCAGCCGTCAGGAGTCGAGGGGCTCAACAACCTAGGCCTCTGCCCCGTGGGCCGAGACCTGCCACTCGTTATCCCATTGGCGGAAGTGTTAATAAACCTGGACCGACTCCTGTTAAATCCAAGACCACGTCATTAATTGTTCTCAGTGACAGCGATGACGAGATAGAAATGATTATAACTGAGAAAACCAGTCCTGAGAAGAAGACAGAGTCTAGGTTGAAGCCAGTCATAACTTCCGAGGTGACAGTGCCTGGGAAAAATGTTTTGTCACCTCAGATCATTCAGCGAATGAACCAGGGAGGTATCTCTATTACACCTATCAGACCTAAGGCCCCTGAAAAACCAACTATTGCTGGAGGCACTCAGCTCGTTGTCGTTGTTAATGAGACTGGTAGTCATTATGCCCTCGCACTTCCCAATGGCAGTAAGTTGATACTTACGCCTGAACAAGTCGCACAAATTCGAGCTTCCAATGGTGGCAAACTTGTGTTGTGAATTTGTACATTTTTAAGGGCTTTGGGGGGCATTTAATCCTGGGGAAAAAGCCATTCAACAAATTAATCCTGCAGTGTAATCCTACTTCATTTGATCCGACCACCCGACCACAATAGTTCTGAAATGTATCCTTCCAGCGGATTACAACCCATTGCTAATAATTTTTCCATCCCTGAACTTTTCCCATTCTCTTTTTCGGCTAAATATCTTCAGAATCTCTGTCCCAGGATTAAATGGAATGTAATTATGTGATGAATGCGTAATAATTATAAAGGGGTACAGCAGAATTTCGTTATAGTCGCACCTCTCCTCAATTTATTTTTCGCATATCTTTCAGTTTCCCGACTCTACCTCCGGGCTACAAGATATAAACAACTCATTATTTTCTTACCGTGAGGAATTGAATTGCGGGAAAAGTAAAGCCGAAATAGTACATTTGGTAACAAGTGCGGAAAAGTGATTTTTGTTTCGGAGGATTATCAATTCGGAATTTCCGAATTTGCCTCCCCTACAGCCCCGTGCACGCGACTATCACGGAAGTCGACTGTACGTGGAATATATATTTTTTTCTGTCGAACGATATTTATTCAGTTTTTGAGGGTCACATATTCTCAAAAATTAAGTGTTAAAAATTGAGGGTGTGGGGCAGAATTGAGATTTTCGACTCACCAGAGATAAGAAATTGCGGTATTTTGATGGAGAGTGGAGTCCTAATAATAAATATTTTAACGAAAGTCCAGTGCTATTTTGCCCCACGTCACCGTTAACCATTCATTAATTTTGTAAATTTTGTAAAGTGATGAGGGATAAATCAAAGAAAAAATTTGGTCTGAAGATGAGATATTCAGCCCTATTTACAATTTCAACATAAGTTCAATTAACATCACAGTGGTGTGACTTTGATATGGACTTTTTTGTCGTGGTCCAAGAATTTGGCGAGTCGGCTACCGTTGTATGGAGTATCACTTCCTGGTGGATGTAGTCGCATCTGAAAAAAATTGTAGTTTACGAGTGAATGGTAATTGTGAGAAAAAAATCTGTAAATAATTTGGAGGATTTTCGTGTATTCAAACGTGGATCTTCTTCGGGATGTCTATTGATTAAGTCGATTCAGTGAGATTCGTAAAGAATAAATAATATCTATACTTGGATAATTACGTACCAACTGTTCTAGACGTACGAGTCCAGTGGGTTCAGCTGTTAGCGCAAATGCAGCTGATTTTTCATATTCGGTGTACATAGATTTTTGTACGGTGATATAATTATAAAAACGAGTAGATAGAAATTACTAGAGGAATGTACGAACACTCATGGAGTAAGGTATAGAATTGTCCCACAGTAAGGAGAAACTCCATCGACATTTAGAGTAAGAATACGTGACAATTGTATATAAACAAATTTTATAGGTACAGCAACTGGTTTTTAGTTGATTATTTAAAATTATTAATTCAAGAATGTTAGCGTCGCAAGCAGCATTATTTTGTTATAAATTACTAGAATTGCATCCAAGCACTACAAATATAACATGATATTACTATACTGAGTTAGGAATAGATGACAATGAAAATTACTGGGATAAATGTTTTATTTTGTTAATTATTTCCAATATTAAATATATTGTTCTCTACAGTCCTTTTTTGTGGAACTCTAGAGATGTGGTATGAAAAAATGTTTTAGAGAACTGATTTATTTATTTATTTTTTCTTTTTAGTTATGAATTCAGCGTTTTTTAGGGGGACAAATCTGGTGATATATCGTCGTTGGAGATGACCTTTTCAGCTTCCAATTCCTTCAAGCGTTTCTGAAACGAACAAAACCAGCACCGGTATTACTCGTTAAAAGCCCTCTTTCGCGAATTAAAGGGATTGAAGTTTCTAAAGTCGTGGGCTACTGAACTGAGATTTTTTCATACATTCAAGATCGATTACTCCTGAAAATGAATTGATCCAATAAAAAGTTTTTATCGTTAAAAATATTCTAAAGCCTCCTACCTAAAACAACTCACAATGTATTCATAATTTCTGAAAAAAAAAATGAAAATGAAAAAGGTGCATTTTAAAATTAATTAATTAATTTTCGATAGTCCAAGAAAAGAGCAGTTTTTTGACGCGACAAATTAAAGAAAAAATTCCTTTTTTCATTTTAATCATAAATTGGAAATCTAACTTGAATAGCTCAGGACTTGAAAAACCTATAGTACTCTCCCTTTGGCAGATTATCAGGGGCTGTTTTGTTGTTCTCTTGATGGAGACTCAACGGCACGTTATCAAGTGGCAAAAAGGCTCGTGTGCGTGGGCGTCAAGCGCACATCCCGAGAGGCATATTCACCCTGGACTTACCATGATCCTGTACTTCTCTTTACAAGCGTACTCGGTCTCATCAACGTCATTGTAGCAGTCGCTCTTGTAATCCTCGGGGATTGGTCCCCCCGCAAACTGGCAGAGTCTCGACAGTGGTTTTGCTCGGACTATCATCTTTTCAAAACCCGTTGGCTTGTGTTGGGGGCAATAGAACAGGTCAGGGGTGTTCTTGTCATATACTATGCTCTTTCTCATCATGTCACCGGCCTTCACCACCACCACCGCACACTGCAAAATGTCGAGATTTTATCTCTCAAGTACATTCGCTTTTCCTAATCCACTGGTCGAAATTCTGTCGTGACGTTGTGAACTAGGGTAACTGCATTTTTTTTTTCGCGGCCAGTTCTTTGTAGATATCTCGGGATTGAAGGAAGATAATGGGATTTTCGTAAAGACCTTTGTTGTAGTTCTCATCTTTTTCTATAAAAAATGATTATACAAAGAATTCCCTATGTTCCTCCACTGCCGAGATATCAGCGAAAAACTGCGTCCACAAAACTGACTTATTTTAGTTCATTACTTCGCTACTGAATTATATCTGAAATTTGCCGTGTACTTCTCGGAAATTTTAATTACATTCGAGTTGGAGAAGCCTTGGGTAACAGGGAGATGAATCTCCCGAAATGAAGCGAAGCATATAATGCAAAAAAAAATTGATTATAGCAATGTACATAACTGAATATAATTAATAATTCTAATAATTACCACTTGATAAGTAAATTCAAATAAAATCAATGAATTGGTGCCCGAATTTTCCCCTGGAAATTTAATTTAAAGGAAAACCCTCTAGTTCTTAAAACATGAATACACTTTCTGATAATCCAGTGACATATTGTGAACCGATCGACTCACTAAAAAAAAATTTCAACTTACAATGAGAAGCAGCACAGCCGAGGATAGCCTGACGTTCCCTACAAAACCAAAAGCGAGAATTTAAATAAAACTCCATTAGCCAACTTCGAGAGTAAAAAAGTCGGTGCAACAAAAACATTAGCATTTTAATCCGCTTTCTTCTGGTCAACTATTTTCCCGTGAAACTCGTGGAAAAGACCATGCAATTCTGCCCTGATGGCGAAATCCATCACCTGCAGAGTCCTTGGACTATCTTAATAGAACTTCCAAGCGCAAACGTATTTCGATTAATCTTACGCTTGTCGGTGACTCACCCATCGTCTCCCTCGAACTTCAGGTAAGTAACAATAAGAATCGACAGAAAGAATTCTTAAAAAATGAAATAAATGTAGAGAAACCGTCGGAATGAGAGTCAGACGCTCGACTGATCCTCGGAGTTGGGAGCGTTGAGTCAGGAGTTTGAGAAAAGTAGAAGGAGTGGGAAATGTTCCGTTATCTGGATATACACATGGTACAGCTCACCTCAATGGTATATTCTCACCTTGGAAAATCCAAGAAAAAATATCCGACTAATAATGCCAAAGAATTTCTCACAGAAAAAAATCCATTACAATAAGTTACGCAGAAATAATTAATGTCTGGGGGAATTATTCAATAAATCGACGTTTCTAATTTTTATATAACAGAGATATAACTATTCGGAGAATAATATAGTAAATTAAATTAGGTCTGCGCCGTTCCCTTTTAGCCAAAACTCAATTTTTTTCGTTTTATAATAAATTATTGATTAGATTGACGCGAAGAAAAATGGGGTTTTCTCTTTTTATAATTATCTAATGAATCGCTAAATATCATGATCGTGCAATCGCGATAAAATGCAGAAACGGTCTATTTGAAAATCGGATTTCCAAATTTGAGCCACAATTTACCCACGACTTTTTCTAAGAGTAAAATTCCTTAGAAATCCCTTTTTATTAATGATTAATGTAAAAAAAACAATCTCAAAGTAATTTGTTCATTAAAATGCATTTCCATTTTCCCTTACCGCAATATTCCAAAAACAGCAATTTTCTCACAGAGAAAATTGTAAAAAAAAAGGAGAGAAAGGAAATTTCTACTTTTATTCTCCATTTGCTGGACCAGAAAACTCGCGAAGAAATCGACTTCTTTGATCTGTGCGGAGGCGTCATACGTCATACGTGGGACTTTGATGATCATCTCACGTATTCGGATGGAAAGACCGTAATAGGATAAATGGGATGGGTCTGAATGTGTCGGTGTATGAAGGCGAAATGTGACATGGTCGTTGTAGTTTTTGGAGTGAGAGGCGGACGATGAGAAAGCGCGGGAGGGTGAAATTTTTTATCGCTCACCTCCTCGTGATCTTAACAGTCTGCAGATCCACCGTGGGAAGAAACAGGTGTACCTCAATCCCCGATCAGCCTGTTTATCACGTGATTATCAACTTACTCATTAACCTAACATCAGAATTTTAAAACACAGATTGACGCGCCGTAGGGATCATCCCCAGGATGAGAACGTCGGGAGTGTGTTGTTTGACAGGAATAATGCCGGCAAAGTTTGCTGGGAGGTTGAGGAATTGATTCTCCTCAACAGCAGACGCATTTTCCAGGACATCTTGCCGCAGGTGATGTCGCACTTTTCCATCATTTCCCCGCGGGAGAGAAATTTACGGGGAATATCCTATACTAGCAAATGGAGGAAACACGGGAAATATTTTATAATAAAATTTACCTTAACGTTCCTTAATTTTAAAAAGTACGATTGATTTTAAATTTATTCACCCCGGGGGAGATAATAAAAGGGGAAAATGCGAACGCTGAATTTTTTTTTACCACTGCCCCAGGGGCTGATCTAGAATCTTTGAGAGAAAATCTTTTTTCAAATAATTATAACATATTTATCGAGATATATTTCCAATTTTTATTAACAAAATGAATTTAACAAAAATTATACCCTATATAAATAATATATTCTTATATATTATCCCATATATATATATATATATAAAAAATTAGTAGTTCAATTTTCGTATAAAAATAGAGTTTTATCAACGAAATTCGAAATAGTGATTATTATTTAGTGATGTACTTTCATTATAGAATGGAAAAGTATCCATGAAGAGCATATTAAATATATTGTTATAAATTTTATTTATCGACCGTAAAATCTAGCATATACCCCCTATAAATTTTCCCAGAAATGTTTCGCGGTGCGCTAGAATTTTTCTGAAAGATAACTCTCCCTGTGGTGATAAATGTGGATTAATTAGTGTTTAATGCAGGTGAGTGTAATTGACACTCGCAACGACACGTACATCGGACTTTTGATGGACTACATGGACATCTGCCTGGAGGCAGTGAGGGGATTAACCTCGGGGAAGACGAAGCATTTGGTTTTAAAGGCTCTGGCTGACACCCTAGCTGGCTATCTACGGGTTTATATCCTCCCCATGACGAAGAGGTCCTACTACGCTGGTAATATCAAGTATCGAAAAGCTAAGAGGCTGTTTGATCTTTATGACGAGCTCAAGGTATTTTTACGGAGTAATGGAGTTGGCTGGAGAAGACCCAGAGAGTTTCATCAGCATCTTGACGTGACGGCGGTTGATGTACCTCTAGGGAAAAGCGATCAGGACTGCACGGGATTGATTCTCTATCCTGGTAAGAGCCTCTTGTCTAGCGAGTAATTAATATCTCGTTTTTTAGCTTTTTTTATTGGATTTAGGGTATTTCCAGGTTCTGATCGATCTGTACAACTTCCCATGCCTTATCTCGACGATGAGAGTAATCCCAACAGGTCCTTAAGTATTCTTGCTTTCTCTTTTTATTCTGGAATTACATTATGCTGGTGGCAGGTGGAAACGGAATTAGTTAGTTTTTTCCTTCGGGGCCCTTCCCTTCTTTAGGCTTTCAATTTTTTAGTTCAATTTTTTTCCCCATTTTAAAATGATCAGTAAATTGGTCATTTGTATTGGAATTTCCAGGAAAATGGGATTTTCATGTTGAATGATAATCGGGCTTTCAGTGAAAGCTTGAATTTTCATGTTCAGTGTGAAAATTCAAAACCTGAGTTGAAACCTACACTCCAAAGAATAAAAACTGGTCATTAAGGTTGTAGTGCCAAACAAATTTGTTTCGGACAAGAATTTAAATGGGGGTTTTAGGTAGAGATTTGAGGTACTTAATAGTCTCCAGTGGATTTACTTGGCAGGAATAATTTCCTTTCTCAGTGGAAAGTCGAATGAAACTAGAATAAGCTTAAAATTTAAGCTCAAGTTTTTTTAACGATTTAACAAAAAATGTAGAGATTGATTCCAGAGAAATAAAATTGTAGAACTCCTCGAAAATCCTCAAACCAACTGATCTCGTTACCACATTCCCATTACAACAATGACAATAAAATGATATAATTGATTAGCATAGCACTTCCATTTGAAGTGGCAAGCCTGTCATCGTTATTCACCGAGGAATCGGCGTTTGTTCTCGTCAAGTATTACGCAGCTGGAGAGAAGTGCCTCTCGTCCCGATCGACAAAGGGACAATTGGAAATATTTCAAAGGCAACTTTTTGATTGGATTCACCAACACGTACAGCATGAATTTTTACAACGAATAGTTTGTGATGCTAAATAAGAAGACAAGTCCCCCGTTTCTCCTTTCCGCATCAAACTTTCCATTTCCAGAACGCCAAAATTCTGATTCTTCACAGATAAAAACGATTTAATTATCCCCAACTAATCCCTTTCCTCAAAATCTGTATTTCTACTATTCAACGGAGAGCGAATTCTGAATTTGCGGATACTTAACGCCCTATCGGCCGAAATTTATGTTTTTTAATTTTATCGTTTTAATCATTATCTGTTCTATCGTCTGTATTAGCTTGAAAGCCTTCTCTTCTTATTTCCTCCAAAAATTTCTCCAAATTTGATTCCTAATGCCCGAAAAAATTCAGGTGAATCCTCACTTAGAGGAGGAGAAGTGGTACCCAGGGTTCGGTGGTGTTTTAAAAATACTAGCGAGTCTGGAAGCGACAGGTGAACTCACATCTATTTTAACAATAAAAGTTTTAGCATCACCAATGTAATAAGCATCTCATCTCACCAGGTCTAAAACCAAGTAAAAACGTCGGGCATGAGCCTCCACGTTTCCCTGGCAAAGCAGTACCAAATGTTCTCCCCCAATTTCCACCGATGAATACTCGGAATGAAAGCCTCGGAAGGAGAGAACTCGTTATAGTAGCTGTTGCAAGTGCATTACTAATTTGGCTATTACTCGGGATGAGTCTTATCTGCTGGAAAATTCTGGCAACACACTCGTCCAAGTCCCCGGAAGACACTCCGTAATAAACTCCCTCACTTTCTTCTCCTCCTACCTCTCCACACCAGGGAACAAAATTTTCATAATCCGCATACTTCCGCTGCTAGGGTCGCTGTCCTCTACGAGAACAGAAAATACCCGAGTCCAGATATTTCCTCGCCGTCGGAGGGTGGAATTTTTACGCGTCTCAAGAACCGTTTCCGACGAAAATCACCAGACGTACCGCGTTGCGAGTGCCCATCTGACGACGACGACGACTGCGATGAGGAAAGATGTCTCGGTTCAATGAGCTACAGTACGGATGATACAGATAGACTAGTCATTAAAAAAAAACCAAAGAAACGCACGAAATTCACATCGATACCATCCAATGCCACGAGATCTGACAAAGTAAGATATCCAGAGTTACCAGATGTCGATTGTCGATCTTTTCGAAAATCTTTTTTCCATTTTATGCAGTCATAATTAATCAACTAAAAATCGATAACGTAAATTAATGAACGAATTATTGATAGGATCTACCCGAGGGATTATTCATTAATGAAATCACAGTCACTGAATTTAAATCATGAAATCAGTCCTAAAATCCCCCGATAAAATCGGAAATCACTTGAAATCATTAAAAAATCACATGAAATCAGCAATCATTGTGTCATATTTAATCATGAATAATAAATAATTAAATAATTAATAATAATTATTAATGAATAATTACTCGGATCTACCCTATGTTTAAAAATAAATAAAAAAATTCGGAAAAATCACCATCTGGCTGCTTATCCGATTTATCAGTCGCATCCCATTAGACAAAAAGTTTCTTCGTGATGGAAAAAAAATTATTCACATACAAATAATTAAGTTCAAGGCGTTCATTATTAATGCACCACCTCTTGGCCTTCTGCAATGCAGCACCTTTCCGTGCCATTTAAAATGGCTGTGTAATTGTGCCAAAGCTATTAAGGTAATTAGTAGTAATGACAAGGATAATATTGGGAGGAGTCCTCTAGCGAAAAATTAATAATTGCCTCATACAGTTCAGATGACACGGAATTATTTGAAACGTGAGGATTTTCTGTTCTCTGAGAAAGTGGTTCTTTGGTAAGTTTTAGTGAAACATCTCAACTTCGTTTGGAATTGACGATAGAATAATGGAAATGACGAATTTTCAATTAATCGTATAAATAAATGTTAGTCAATAATAGTGCAAACTACTAATCGTTTTTTCTTTATAATTGATGAAATTTTCAATTTTTTAATGAATGATGATAATGTTGAATTGAAAAAATTGTCGTTCATTGGTATGTCGTCGATTATTGACTGGACTGAGAGAGGGTTTCCCAGAAATTTCCAAACACCATGAAAAACGAGAAGATATCGGTAATAACTGCTTGAGTAGAATACTATGTGCTTGGCATCAGAATTTTTTTCTTCAGTATAACGTTCGCAGGAAAGAATCAATTCGTAAATGAAAAAATACTGAACAAGTACAGCATTAGCCACAATATTTTTTCCATCACGACAAAACATCTTGATCCATTGAGCCGAATATGACGAGACATGCGGTTCTAATAAAATTTATCCCTTGAATATGCTGAAGAAATCCTACTACTCAACGGATGAATCGAGTTCCTCAGAGCGAAGGGAGCGAACGCCTTGATGTTGACGTTAAAGAAAGCATTTAAAATTTGGTAAATAATATAGCGAGGAAAGGTGAAAAAGAATAAATAGAAAAAACGTCAAAGCATTTCTCGGGTCCGGAGGTCCGGGGGTCTATATATAAAGCATGAAAGGAAGAGTACGAGGGGGTGAAATAAGGAAAAACGGAAGAATAAGAAAAGCGTTCTCGACGGTGGGAGGATGGAGGGGGATGAATCTCGTGGAAGCCTTGGAGGAAAAATGACAAATGGAGCGCACAAGGGTACAGTCTGCCATCTGGAGGAAATTCACAACGGGGGAGGGAAACGAGGGAGAGCTTTTACTGGAGCTTGGGCTTCTGGTTTCCCCCAGTGCTCCGCAACACCTCGAGGCGAGCGTATCGTATCTCCAACCATTTCAAATTCACTTATCCACATTTTACCCGGCAAAATCCATTCAATCAAAACGACACGTGAGTGTGTGCTATGACACGTGGCCCCGAGTACATCACAACCCTTGCATTATTATCGAATATTTTGTGATTTTAATAACTCTTTAAGCAACAACTCCGAGAGTGTTATTATTATTTTCAAGGAATCTATTGTCAAGTTCTATGTACAAACAACTCACTCATGAACAATGTGATTAAATGATGATTGAACACTGAGGAGAGGATGAAGGTGGGGGCTACTTGCCATGTGCCTGAATCGCCTGAATAGTCTGGCATACTTTACCTGTTCATTGTGAACTGTAATACATCGAAATGCATGCACCACTGTATTGGACTCTGTGCATTGTTTCGATACAACTTCTCGCCACGTCGATAGGTATGTTGTGGATGGAATAAAAAAGGGATGAATCGATTTTGCATTTATAAATTTACGCTGTCGACAGTGGTACGGGGGTTTATTAAACTTTATTTGCACAGGTACGTCAGGAGAGGAGGGAGTAACGAGTTCAATTTAATTGGGGAAAATAATGTATCAATTACGTGTAAATATTCAGGTTGCTATGAATTTTTGGGATTTAATTGGATTTTTTTGGGGGGTGGCGGGGGGATGTGGGGTTTAATTAAAATGCTGTTGAAAAATGTAGTGCGATGTGGTGTGGGTCTGGGGGTGTTGGAAACGGTTGGACAGGAACTGAAACGACGTGTCAACGACACTCGCGGGTTTGGGGTCGTGCACATGGCACAACGGTGGTTAAAGGCCTTGGTACTTGCTGTACCTAGTGGAGAAACAACGTTGGGGTTTTGTACTGAAGCGCGCGCTTATGTATACCAACGTCGTGTCCCTATCGATCGACATCCAGCGAGCGTGCTATTTTAATTAGTCATATTCCTCAGGAAAAGATGTGCGTGGTGGAGGCTGGCATGTTGGCTTTACCCCAAACTCGACTTTACAAGGGGTGGCATCATGAAAGGGGTATCACGTTGCACATTTTTTTATGAGGGCCATTTTCTCTGGCATTTCTTCCCTTACGTTTATTATTTTTCATTCCCTTATTATTTTTCACTCCTTTTTTCCCATTTATTACAATTTTTTTTTTTTCATTTCTTTTCACTTTTTTCACGGATTCTTCATTTTTTAGGGATAATATATCGCTATCATCGACTTCTTGAGAATCTTTGGCATTCTTTCTTTACTTCTCCACTTCTCCAGGGAGTCGTTCCCATTGATACCAGAGATTTTCTACTTTTGTGATTCCTTTGGAGCGTTTGTTTCTGGGGAATTGAAGAAGATATTGGAGAATCTTCGATGAATTATTAAAGTATTCTTGAGTCGTGGGGCTTTGAAGGGTGAGCTAATTGCGACGTAGTGTTTAGGGACGAGTAATCCATTCAGAAGAGTTATTAGGGATTTTAGGATAAATCTCGTGGTATTGAAAAATTTATGTAGTTTTTGTTTGTTGTTGATTTGAGAAACTGTAAAGTGAGAATTGGTGGGAATCGGTGGAAATTGGTTGATGCATTAAATTCAGGGACAACTATGTAGAAAAAGTATTTTATTAGTATCATAATTACTGTGACTTTGTTTTTTAATTCCTTGAGAATATTTGGTAGCTTCATACTTCTCGAGGGAGTCGTTTTCGTTTCGATACCAGAGATTTTCTACGTTTACGGAAATTGAACTAAAGCCGGTGATATCTGAGAATTTTCGTCTTTCATCTCTCCTTGTTCTCGACTCATGTGACTATGACGTACTGAATTAACTGTCCCGTGATGTTCAAACTGGAATAATTCAGTGAACTCCCTTCAAACAACTAACGTCATGACTTCTCAAGAAAATTCTCTTGAAACCTGAGAATTCCGATTCCTTTTTCTTCCTAATCCTAAATGAACTGAGACTTCAACCCACTGACACCTGAGACTTTGCAGCCTCCCTTGCTCCGACTTCATCAACCCCACCTTCTCCACAGGGGGAAGAAGTTTCGTGATGTTGGAAAAATAATTCTTCAAGTTTGAAATTAAGTTTAGCCTCCTAAAACTTAGTTTTTTTATTCTCGAAAACTTCTTTGAAGATTCAAACAATCTGAGTCTAGTTTTTAGAATAAATGTTTTACAACTTCTAGACTCAAATTTCTCCTATCTAAATTTTTTTAATAAACATTTTTTGTAATTTTATATTTATTATTCACTGGGACAACGTCTATTCAATTTATTCAATTTTTCCGCCCAAAAATTTATAAATAAATAAAGCTTTTCACTGCCTCAAAAAAAAAATTTGTCTCACATTCAGTCGAAATATAAAAAATATAGAAATAATAGAATTAACTGAATTAAATGAATTTTCAAAATTGCGGAAAAACTTTTCTAGCATCGAGTAAGAAGTTTTCTTGAATCGATTAATCGGTTTCGTAAATCCATTTACAAGTCCTCAAATAATTCATTCATCTCCAAAACAATCGACACAGCATGAAAACGTTAAAAAACTTTTCTCTAGCTATTGAAATTCCCTCCAAAAAATGTCTCTTAACATCATCCCCTAAATTCAGTAGTTTCTTTAATAAATAAACCTTCACGAGCCTCTGAAATTTCTTTTATTAAATGGAATTGTAGAGAATATTTTCCCTTTATTTCACCGCCAAAGATTTATGCCCCCTGAAGAAATTCTCAAAAACATCCATTCCCCCAGCAGGCGCACCAGGGCACCTTCTCATTCGTCATACTACTTTTCCTCAACTCCCTCTCAGCCTCGATGCCCCCAGCAATAGTATCCCTGAAACTCTTGAGCTCACCCTCGCCACAAACCACACTCTGACTCCTGGAGGATGTTCTTCCCTTGGAAGCCTGTGAATTACCCCTCCTCTGCCTCTTTCCATCAACCGATGGAGTGGAGACTCTCTCCTTCTTGACCGCCTTCCTCCTCTCATGGCCCTTGACCTTATCCTTATCCTTATCCTTGCGCTCTTGGCCAGAGCTGTCACTGGGAGTAGGACTCTGACTCTGCGTCTGTGTCTGAATGTCGACCCTCGGGGGTGGGAGAACATCCTGCCACCCAGGAAGATACCCGACATCCTTATAAATCCCACCATCGGATTTCGGGAGAAAGGGATTGCCAGAAACTGGTAAATTCAAAGTTTGTGGATTTGGATGCTCGAAGGAGGTTGCCTGGTACTCCTGGCGTTGCATCTGTCGAATTAATCTACGATGTCGTCGATCAGAGGGCAAAGTTGTGGGGCATAAAGTACAGTCGAGACGTGGCATCTGCGGAGGCACCTCAGGTGGTTTATCCAGGGGTTGAGTCAGTCGTACTCTCAACTGGCTACGAAAAGCCTTGGGGCTATCCCTTGAATTATCAGGTAAACTCTTAGCAGCTAAACCCCCTTTGATGGCATTCTCTTCCCTGAATAAATTGGATTTCAACTCCTGACACGAGTGCCACAGAGTTTTCTCCAAATTATCCAAATTATCTCGTGGATTTGATAGAAGATTATCAGAGCTGTGAGAATTGTGTAATTGGTTAGCGACTGCACCTGACACACATATATCCGGTGATGTCTTCTGGTTATCGCAGACTGAGGGGATGGATTCACCGGGTGATACGAGAGAATTTGTCGGTGATTTAACATCAAAAATTGCCTCCCAACCTAGTCGAGGCACTTGGCTTGGCGAGGAGGGGATTAAATGCTGTGTACTTGGGCTCTGTGGATGGTAGACTGATTGATCGTTCATGGAAGGTAATACTGGACACTCGGGACTGTATATCCAATTAAGTGTGTGTCCGGTCAAGTAGTTCTCCCTCCCTTTATCGTACATTTCGTTTGTTTCCGTTGTCTCTGGTTTAATTAAATCTCTCTCCTCTTTTTTACTCGTGATCTTCTCTCTCTTTGTCTCATCCTCCTCTGGTACTGTTGATAATTGATCGAATTCCACATGGAGACGATGAATACTGCTGTTCATTTTTTCCGACGATAATTTCTGATTCTCAGCATTTTCAAGAAGTTCCTCCTGAATTGACTCGGGTTTTAACGATTTCTCGATGCTATCGTCCACATCGCTGATCTCATCCTCTTCGTCTTCGTCCTCATCCCCTTGGCTAGAGCCTGTGGTACACTCCTCGCTGAAATCCTGCAGTTGAGGAGAAAAACCGTCACATTAGGGGATGATTAATTTCCACGATAAGGTGAACAAATAATTCAGACCTCGTCGTTTTCACTGTCCTCCCTTGACTTTTGGCTCTTGAGTATCTCCTCTAACTTGTCGTACTCCTCCCGCAGACACCATATCTCACGTCTCAACTGCTCGTTTTCACGTCTGAGCTTCTTTATGTCATTGTGACCTGAAATATATTTAGTTTCGAATATTACAAAATTACGAGTTATTTCCACGCATTGAGATTTCAAAACTCTCAGCAATATAGAGAGATAAACATTCTTCATGTTCTAAATGAAAACATTTTTATTAATTCTAAAAGATCTTTCACTAACATCACACTGTTAGAAAATTACACTTGTCACTTCAAGTACAAGCATCTGCCATTTTTTTAAATATTCTAGTAAATTTCCATCCTCAGGTCCATATTATGGCAATAAAAACCGTGGAAACCGTGAAAATTTAAGCGGCAATTTCCCTGAATCTTCAATCTATTCAAAACTCAATTATATCTGATAATAAATTTTGAAGATGACCATGAGAAATTCAGTAACCGATTTTATTTCATATTCCATTCAATCTTATATAATAGAAAATTCCGATTACATTGCGCCTGAAATTTCAGGGAAATTCACAGTGCAACAAAATGTTTACAAAATTGGTCGTATTATTATTACTATTTACTTATTTATTTATTTATTTCATATTCCAATAGAATGAAGACAAGAAAAAACGTTCTGTCGACGTTTTCTTGAATAGTACAAAATTTTTCTAACACCAGGAAACTTTCCTCCACATAAATAATCTTATAAAATCCCAAACTTTCTTTATTTTCATTCACGTCAAGAAACTGAAAATTGAATAAAATTACATTTTTCCATTTAAACGATCATTGACACCCCCAGAACACGAAACTGCATTTTCTCACACTCAATATTCAAATCGTCAATGATCACCCTAAATAAACGATAATTAAAAACCTCGATAGTTTTCCGATCGAGTGCACTAAAAATTGTCTGACCGAAACGAATTTTAAATTCCCTGAATTGGCCAGAGGATTGAAGCAGTTTCTCAAATGATGTACCATCGAACCGTCATTCTATTTCGGTCGAGGTGAATTTACGATAACCGTTAAATTCGCCGATGATAATCCGAGAACGAGCAGAATAAACCGTGAAACCAGGAGTTTGGATTTAATTTTAACGACAACGATATCCCTTCCAAGTGCTGAAGCCCTTGAAAAAACGATTACACCACAAAAGAAAATAATTTCACCCAAGTAAATACACTGGATCGACGCAGCAAAATCTCAGCATAAAATCCTTAAAAAATTGAAAAGTCTCTGGAATAAATGTCAGAGAAAAAACTAAAATTGAATTAGGAAAAATAATAATTGGTGTGTCGAGTGAACATACTCTGTTGCTTCTTGTTCCCTCGAGCTCTGTCCCTCCTGTTCATCATGAATCCATCTCCATGAGCACATTTTATTCAGCACAGACCTCCACCAGCGACGTTTATTTATCCACCCGGTAATATCTCCGTTCAACCCCAGCAAATGAGCCCACACATCGACACCACCGAATTTCGAAGGATAAATGAGAATACAGTGGAACGAGTCGAGCTAACCGATCGAGTCGCCAGACCATACACCACCAAACCAAAAATACAAGACACACAAGTGCGCATTAAATGAGAACACCAGATGTCCTCTTCCCTTTAGCATCATGACCTCGTAATCTATCTTTTCTCGATGACGAGTGCACTCGTTTCATCCAGCATCCCATACCAATTGACGTTTCCATCATCACGTTATTTAGATCCAGCACTACTCACTCCTTTTAATATTTCACTGACATTTTTCGTATGCGATTGGAAAATTTCGGACACGGTGATATTTATCATGTGTAAAATATTTAGCATTGGCAATCTGGGAGTTGAGGGAGAGGGGAGGAGTGTCTAATTTGAAAGAAATCATTTTACTTGTGTCGGGGAAAGTTATATAGATTCAAGACAACTTGTTTTTTTTAGCGGGTAAAGTTCAAGTTTCTGGATTTGAGGATTTTTTTCTTTTCTATTCTTTGTCCTAGGAATTATGAAAATTCTGGGAAATCGTATGTTGAATTCGAACTTCTTAGGAATTTTTTTGAATTATTATGAAAATTCGAGAGAGCTTATCACTGACTATTAATTTTCCCTTCGAATTTTCTGATTTCCGTCTGCTTTCTAGAAATAATAACTTCCTTTGACGAGTTATTGCCGATTTATTCTCATTTTTCGAGTTTTCTCCAAATTAAAAAAAAAAGTCGTTAATCAAATTGACGTGAAAAAAAAATCATGAAAAATGAGAAGATACCGGCAGTAATTTCGTGCTACACTCTTTCCGTTAAGATTCCTCGGTTCTTTGATTTCTCCGACAAACTGATAATGAGATTGACGAGCAAAAACTATAACTTTTTTGCTTTCCTCATTATTTAATGAATCACGAAGTTCCCATGTGGTGCGAACATTTCCCTGCGTTTTTTCTAAACTTTCAAAAAGATTCACAGAACTGACTAAAAACCGCGTAAAAATCATAGCACCACCAGGACTCTTCCCTTAAATAACGACAAAACGCAGAAACCTATTTTTCCACGTCAATCCGACCGATAATTTCTTCAAAAAATTTTTTAAAAAATGCGAATTCAGTCTAAAAAGATGTTGTGCCTCCTAAATTCTCCTATAAGCTCAAAATTTTCTCAATTTTTCCCCCAAAATAAATATTCCGAATAAACCGAATGATGTTGATAGGGTGGCCTGGCCAGTGTCAGAAGAAGAAGTCAACTAAATGTTTCGTAGAATCAAGAATAGGTGGCTGGGGTGTTTTCCGATTCTATTCCTGCTCGTTAAACCCACACACCTCAGCCACTGTCCCACAATTCCAACCCAAGATGCGCGTGAAAAAATATGAGAGACGTCTCCAAGACGAGATACCTTGTTCAACTTCCGCATTGATGTTGATGGTTCTCAGTCGAAGCTCCTCATTCTCATATATCATTCCCCGGGATGACTTCCTGTCGAGTTTTCGATTGGGCTTAACACTGACATCACGACGTCTTGCACGTAGCATGCCGGCGCCACTGATACCCCCAACACCAACCCCTGCACTAGTTATCATGTTTCTTCAATTCAACCCCACCAGTCCCCTCCCAAAGAAAAAAAAAATCGGAAGATTCTCCGTTTCCAGACGACCAAAAATCGCCTCGAGATCTTGCACCCTCCAAACTTCAACTCTTTTCCCTTATCTCCAGCTCCATTTTTCCACCAAGTCTCGAAGGCCTCTTTTTCTCCATTAATTCACCTCAGCCTCTCTCCACTATTTTATTTCACCAGCTCCCAGCACTCCCAACTTATCCCGTGTTTTTACCTCAGTTATATCTGAAATTAAATGAGCCAGCGATATTTTAGGTTGAGAAAATGAGATGAAAATTCAATGGAGAGGGGAAAAATATAAATAAAAACAGAGGTCGTTACAAATGAGGGGCAGCTGGAATTTTCCAGTCTAATCGATTCCGGAAACAAACAGCTCTGTACATTTGGTTGGGAACCGAGGGGAATGTATTTGAAAACTACGGGCATTTAATTTTAGATGGTGCGTCGATTCGATCGTACAGCCATCGAAAAAGAGTCTCTCGATGCACGTTCTTATACGCCGGGCAGCGATAAAGGAAAATAAAGTAGAGGAAAAAAAGAAGATAAAAAAAAAACGTGAAATGTACTTTCGCACGTTCAATATTGCAGAATGGGGAAAATATTTTCAGCCTTACCTCTGCCAGCACTCGTTCTATCCCTCCATTCGCCCTCACTCGTTGTTTTTTTATATAGAAATAGAAATAAAACAGCGATTGACTCTTTTACCGGTGAAAAAAGAACTTGTAATTTACATGGAAATATTTCCTTTCAGTAGCATTGGTGGTGCGGTGCGAGTTAAATTAATGACTCGCTCTCGGTGAAGTGGAAAGGGACTCGACATAATTTGATAAAGCCCTTCAGTCTCCCTCTCTTTGGTTTTTCCCCTCACGTACGCCTTTGAGAATTTGAAATTCTTTCTCTTCCGTGAAATCCTTCCGCCTCGGTTTTTTGTCGCGTTTCAAGAGTTTGGGCTTTTGGGAAAGAGTCGTTGGATTGCCGTTGGATTGCCGTTGGATTGCCGTTGGATTGTCGTCGTAGTTGCTGGTAGATTTGGCACTGGAGGATAGAGACGCGTTCTCTTGAATTTGGCGGGTAGGAAAAATCTCTCGAAAGGAACGGCCCCCCAAGCACGCGCCTCCACCACTTGGTCGACATTAACTGCGTTCGAGTGAGCAAGCAAACCACAACCGCATTCTACCTCAACCTCATTTTTTACCACTCCCTCATCCCCTCACCCCCTTGTCTTAACCGTTTGGGGATTTCTCAGTTGGCCATCGAAAAGCGCTCAAAAGATTTTGAGGGGGAAAACTGGCACACCGGATTCCCTCAGACCGGAGATACTCTCTGTCTTCATTCACCGTTGGATGTATTTCTCATCCCCCTCCTCATTTCATCCAGTCCAAACTACGTTATCTTGCCGATCTAAAATTACTCGGACAAACTCAAAACACACTTTTCTCCTCGACACCCACCAGCACTGCCAGTTTGCCAGTTCGCTGGATTCATGAAACATTCCTATGCCCCGAGGTACGTCCGGAAGACAAAGGGAAAGAGTTTAAAAATGGGGCTGGGGGAACCAAGAGGTCACGTCCGACAACAACGTCCGAGGAATTTCATCCCGACGTCTGATATTCTCTCTACCCTTTTCACTTTTTTCACTCTTTCCCCGGCTCTTTTTCTTCTTTTACTTCCAACGGGTGTCTACTACTCTCCAGGGACATCCGCTCGTGGGAAATTATTGGCGGGGGTGTTCATTCATAGTGGGTGTTAATTTGGAGGCGATTCTTATTATCGCCTTGGATTTATCGTGCTTTTAGGGGTGGGGGAGATTTGGGGGGTCCAGGGGAGAGGTTTTTCTTGAAAATACTCTGGTGCTTCCTAGCGAAAAATTCTGGACCACTGGATATTTTATTCCGCTATTTTTCTTCTGCTCATGCGAAATTTTTATACAACTCTTGAGATATTTGTACTGGAAAATCTCCATAAATTTTACAAGAAACACCCATAAATTTTTGTTGACTGGAGCGTCTTTTAAGAAAAATTACTCGTCGTGCTTTGAGGGATGCCGATATTTCAGGGTGTGAGGTACAGAAAAGAAAAGTTTTTTATCATAAATCCTACCACTAGACAAGTCAAATTTCTAATTATTAAAATGAATAATTTTAACTCTGCACTTCAGGGAATCCAGGAATCGATTCCCCAATATTTTCACCTCACTGCCAAAAAAATGTCTATCAATGAATATTTTTTGGGGCAGACATTAAAATGAGGTTTTTATCTACTTCTCACCGAGTCGTTTAAAAAATTATTGCCGATATCTTCTAATTTTCCGTTTTTCGTGGATTTGTGGGATACCCTAAATGGTACTGCTCAAAATATCGCAGTGGCAAATAAAACATTATTAATAAAAATGGCACCCACATTAGCATTCAAAATAAAAAAAAATTTTTTGAAAAGTCGAAAGACTTCAAATCGGCCGGCCCTCCTTAAAATGTGAAAACGAAACCACTCAAAAATTTCCAGAATCGATTGAAATGAATAAATTCCCCAGAGAATTCGTCTGTAGAATAAAAAAAAAAAACAGAATAAAAAAAAAACCCAGTAATTTATTCAGTCTGTGTCGAAATAGCGCTGACCTCTCTTCCTCCAATACTCCACCATCTCCGTAAAGTTGAGGTGAACCCCCCCATCAATCCATCACCCCCGATAACCGTTCAAACAAAATCATCTCTCATGGCCCACTCGGAACATCTTTTTTTACCCACCTCGTGTACACTGTGAAATTCCTTTAATCCAATCTCAAGCCTCACCAGAGAGCTTTGCATGCTAAACGTTGGCATAAATATGTGATAGCACGCGTCTACCTTCCACATGCCTCCAACCACCACCGATTGAGTCTAGATTGCACGCAAAAGGGGGGCTGGAATATTTAGTTGATGCTGGGAATGGGGCGTGATTTCTGATGCGGGTGTGCAATCCATTGCCATTTAAATTATTCCCTATCTGCGACACTTGTCTACTATAACCCGGAGTGGGATAATTATCTCCATGAATAATCGATACATTTTCCCTGAGTATATTTGTCTGTTCCAACACGTGACTATAAACGCCTTCAGGGTGATTTCTCCCCTCCACAAGTTCACAATCCCTTCAAGCCCTTTGTAACGTTATCCTTATCCTAATTGGAGTGGAGTTTTCATTGGGTAGATTTACTCGATAAGTTTTTCACGTTAGATAACAGTATAGCATGAGGGGAAAGGAAATTAAACCTTATCCATTTCGTCGTGTCATCTCGTTTCACCATGAGGAGGAAACTCATCGTCAATTGTGATTTTTTCTTTTGTAGCGCGTGATGGGGGTCCAGGGGACGATGAGGGGGTGACAAGGGGGATGACAAGGGGATGACGATAGGCTAGATAGGCGAGGGGCATTGAGATCACGGAAAAGTCAAGCGTAAGGGCCCCAATGCTGGATTTCTTTTTTTCATCCTTGTATTTGTGGTAGTGAAGAGGTTTATGGCGGGTACATGGGAGAGCTGGGGGGTGTCCAGAGAGGGCCTTTACGAGGGTACGTTACCACGGCGACACTTGTCCCGAATATCGCCTGTGGCGGTAGAGCGCGTGCAAACCTCAATGTCGATATGGCTCGATGAATCGTCAGTGTGAGGGGGTGTCCAGGGGGTGGCTTCAAGTGTCTCTCTGGACCAACAGTCTGCGAAAATGCCTCCTCTCCCTTTCTCTTCATTTTTTTTTTGCCTTTTTCTAGGAGAAAAAACCTTTCGGGAGTCTTCATTTCTCTTTCTTCCTCTTTCTTCCTCTTTCTTCCTCTTTCTTCCTCTTTCTTCCTCTTTCTTCTTCTTCCTTCCTCTTTCTTCTTCTTCATTTCTCTGTATTACATTTTATCTATTTTTATCTCTCCTATTCTCTTTTTACCTCTGATTATCTCTCTTCATTTCTTTTCCCATTTTGCTTTTCACTTTTGGGAAGAGTTTTTGCGTTTTATTTGCTCTCAGGAGGAACTCGTGTTTTTTTTATCTTTTTCACGGGGGAGCGGCTTTGTATTGAGTATCAAGGGGATGTTTGGAGTAAATATTGAATGTGTGTTTGATTGATTTTTTTTTCTCCTTTCAGGTGAAGGGATTCCGGGATCAAACGGAGATACTGAGGGCGATGAGGGGGACATCGAGAGCAGGACAAATGCGTGAGTTTATTATTTGGCATTTCTTTTTTTTTTCGGGAGGGCTTCGGAGGGTGGCAGGTCACTCTTTCGGTTGCACTCGGGGGTGGGGGATTCAGGGCTTTCCACCCCTTTTGGATTAGGGCTGGTGGAGAATTGAATTTGTCACCGCCACGTGGCGCTGTCAGCAACAATTTCAAATGGCCGTCGTGTGGGGGTGTCAACAATAATAAAAAAGCACCAGCGCTCGTTTCAATTTGACATCAATGTTTTTTTTGGGTGTTTTTGGTGGGAATTATGAAGCTCTGGGGGGTGATATTGTTGATCAATGATGTGGCCATGATTGTGGGAGGGGGAGGCAGTGAAAATTATGGGGGAATTCGAAGGTATTGAAATGGCGTTCCTCTTTAACTGAATTTATGGTTATGTTCGACGTGGTGAATCAATTATTCAAGATCAAAACACGCGGGTCAATCACCCTCTCTGACCTGCAATCTGATTTCTTTTTTTTTTCTTTCTTTCTTTTAAATTTCGGTTTTTATCGTTTTGGGACAGGTCTAGGGAGGACTATGGGACCCTTGAGGATGGCGAGGTGCTGAGTACGAATGATGGGTATTACGGGAGCACTAGTTCACCAGTATCACTGTCTCGAGAGCTCCAGCTTACAACTCAAACAAAACTCTCGACTACACGAGTTACTGAGCATCCATCACAGGATCAGAGTATTACGGGAAAGTGCGAGGTAATTTTTTTTAGTTCTCACTCACGTGTGCTAGAAGTCAAAATTAATAGTTGATACTTTTTTTTTTAAATGGCACTGAAATTAAATCATTTTTAGTCAAGAGGACATTCCTTTCCTTCAGTAATAAACGCGATTGATTGATTTATTCATGAGTTACGAGTATAATGTCTAATAATGTCCTGAAATATGAGTAGATTAAGGATTATTATAAATTGAGGGGATATTTTTCTCACGAGTCTCACGAAACCATGAATTCCAGATATACTCAGGAGGCCTCTGCCCGGAGTATCTGTTCAACCGTTCGATATACATCCCCCCCTGGACGTCTCAAAGACAGACGGAAGAAGCTCTATCCCATGCCTGGGACTCTCTCTACAAATCAATGTAAGTACCCGGTCCCTTCAGGACCCCAAAAACTCACCTAATTCAATATCTCCTTTTTCCAGAGAGGATCCATCGATCTGTGCACCATACCTGCTGGAGGTTCTGTGCTACTCGTCCTTTCCGATGTGCAGTTCGAGCTCCACAGAGCCCTCAACAAGCAGAACTCAAAATCCAGAGGAATTGATCCCAAAGGTTCCCCGTAGCCTCTGCCGAGAAGATTGCCAGGTCCTTCAGTCCTCCTGCAGGAAATCGTATACCCAAGCAAGTCATCATCCTCTATTAAGTGTCTCATTGCTGGCCTGTCCCTTATCACCCGTTGAAACAACAGAGAAGCTCTCGCGGTGTGTCACCCTGAGGCTACCCTCGCAGATGGACCTAAACGAGAAAGATCACTGTTACTGGGGAAATGGAGCAGCCTATCGAGGTCCAATAAATACAAGTGCCTCAGGGTTTCCTTGTTTGAGATGGATGGATCACTTTCCACACTCGATAATCGATTACCGAGAGCTCAGTGGACGCCACAATTACTGTCGAAACCCCGATGGTGGTGACCCTCAACCCTGGTGCTACATCGATGTCGATGGGTTACCCAGGAAACAGTCTTGCAACATATCCAGATGCAGTGACCACCCAACGACAGTCTCTAGCCCCCCTGACATCCCGAAAAAAATTCACCACGAAGGGAGCTGTGAGGTATACGTTGGAAAAACGTGTGAACAGTATGTAGGGAATCAAACTGTCTACATCCCATACCCCATGACCCAGAAAATGCTCGAGGAAAAGCTCATGCAAGCGTTTGGCGTCATAAATATTTCCAAAGACCTGTCCCGAAATTGTGCAGGATATGCAAAACCTTCGTTGTGTTTTTCGGTCTTTCCCATCTGTCGTGAAAATCGTTTCAGCACCGAGTTGTTCAATCTGCTGCACTCTGGGGATCAGGAGGAGGGAGGGGACGATGAGAACGAGGGAAGTGATGAGTTGGCTCCTCCCAGGGGAATTCTCAGAAAGAGGAGTCCCCAGATCAGTCATCGGTCTAGTTTAAATGTCGAGCAGAATGAGAGGATTAGTGGGAAGAGATTCGGGGAAGCCAGAAGTGCCCGAAGGGATATGCTCAACAGGAAACTCAGGAGAATATGTCGAGAGGACTGCGAGATGCTGGAGGATGAGCTCTGCAGGAAGGAATATGCAATTGCCAAACGTCATCCTCTTCTTGGGGGACAGGTACCTCTGCAGGAGTGCTCGGATCTGCCACTTCCTGGCACTAAGGAGTCACAGCAGTGTCTTTCCTTAGGCATTATGTTGGTGAACAATGCACAGGAAAATGATCGATGCTACTGGGGGAATGGATCCTCGTACCGGGGTGTTATGAATGTCAGCCGATCTGGAAAGCCCTGTGTTAGGTGGTCTTATCACTTTAATCTACCCATATCTGATTTTCCTGAACTGCAGGGACGACATTCCTACTGCAGAAATCCTAATGTTGTGGGGTCTACGGACACACAACCCTGGTGCTATGTCGAAGCTAATAATAAGGTTCAAAAAGAGCCCTGCGAAATCTCCAGGTGCGCAGACAGCCTATGGGTTTATGTAGTGATCGGCCTAGCTCTCGCATCTGGTTTTGTATTCATAATTGGCTGTTATTGCTGCTGTTACAAAACTCGAAAAATCCGGAGGAGGCCCTCGCACAATCTGCCCACTGGAAAAATGATGACGGGTGTCCAGTGCGACAAGAATATCTACGATGGGAGGAGAAACACGAGTCAACCAATCGAGTTGAGTTCCCTCTTGGCCAGTGGAAATGGAGGGGCTACAACGCCAGGCACTGGAACCCTGAGTAGTACCAGCAGTAGAGCCTCCACCAACAGAGTACCTCAGTACTCTCTGGAGAATGTTGCACTGCTACAAGAACTCGGGGAGGGGGCCTTTGGAAAGGTGTACAAGGGGCAGTTGCAGCCAGTGCCAGGGGCCAAGTATCAGGAAGGTATTTTCGTTGCAGTGAAGACCCTTAAGGAGAATGCCACCCCCAAGACTCAGAGTGACTTCAAAAGGGAGGTCGATCTGATGACAGACCTGAGGCATCCTAACATAATTTGCCTCCTGGGTGTTGTTCTCAAGGGCGAACCCATGTGCATGCTCTTTGAGTACATGACACAGGGGGATCTACACGAGTTCCTCATCTGCCACTCACCCAGGTCCGAAGTCACCCTCAACAGTGTCAGTGAGAAGGTCCTGGAACAGCCAGAGTTTCTTCACATTTCCCTGCAGATAGCCTCAGGCATGGAGTACCTTGCTGGTCATCATTATGTCCATCGAGATCTGGCTGCAAGGAACTGCCTTGTAGGGGAAAACCTCACAGTAAAAATTTCCGACTTTGGTCTCTCCAGGGATATCTACAGCAGTGACTACTACAGGGTCCAGTCGAAGAGCCTCTTACCTGTACGTTGGATGCCACCAGAATCCATTCTCTATGGTAAATTCACCACTGAGTCTGATGTCTGGAGTTTCGGGGTTGTTCTCTGGGAGATATACAGCTATGGATTACAGCCGTACTATGGATACAACAATCAGGAGGTGATCGATATGATCAGGTCTAGGCAACTTCTGCCCTGTCCTGAGGATTGTCCCACAATGGTGTACAGTTTGATGATCGAGTGCTGGCATGAGGTGGCTAATCGCAGGCCACAATTTCCGGAGATTCACCACAGGCTACACAATTGGTACGTCAATCAAACCTATCTCGTAGGCCACAAGACCTCCAGCAAGGCTGGATCACCTGCCATCTGTGGCAGGGAGGGTACATTATCCAGAGCCTCGCCTAAGGGCGGACTTTCTAATCATGAACATGTTAATGTCAATTCCGTGGAGGAGAAACCATGCTGCTCTCCTAAACTCAGTGGCGCCAGGAAAGTTCTGCCTACTGGGCCACAGGTCAAATCTTCACCTAGTTGTAGAATTCAAAATGGAGCGCAAATGGTCGTCAGACTGCCAGATCCTAGTAAAGACGTTACAGAGACTAGATTGTCGAAGTAATTTTATGGGTGTTCAATGTTTTATATGTTTATTTGGCACTTTGGTTGGCACATTTGCCTTCGAGGAGCTCTCAACCTCCGGTTTTTAAACCACAAGGAAAAAATATGGCCTGCAAAGTGGTAAAGCGAGAGATGAATTTTAAAATGTCGTAAATTCACTAAAATTCATTCGAGGCGAATACTTCCCATAAATTTTCAACTTAAATCAATAGTTTTCTTAATAAATTGATAATTAACAGGAGTTAAAATCATCTGATATCAGTTTTCCACTTTGCCATTGATTTTTTAAAAAATTTTGTAGACGTAGGGCGCAAGGGTTGGGCTTCTGGAGGGAATGTGTCGAGCATTGGCGACTGACTGACTAATTAATCGTATTTATTTATTTATCAATATCTGAGGGCTCCCTTTTGGAAATCTGACGTCGCAAATAGTAATGTGTGAATAGGCGAAATTTCAGATCATTCGTAGTGAATCGAAAAATTACAAATTACTGCCAATAGATGAATTACTATTTGATGGATTTTCACATAATTTGGATTATTTGAATGTAATATCGTAATAATTCAATGTTATACAATACAATATGAATAATTGGAGAAATTGAATAATGTGGAGTGATTTGTTATTTCGAATAATTCAAAGTTTTGAATTATTGGATTCGAATGGAATTTCACTGTTCGAGTACAGTATTCGATTCGATCACTATTCACACAGCTCTAGTCTCAAATGCATTTTAATCGTTTGGGTGAACTATCAATGCTCAGTATGGAAACGATATACTACAAAGCGAAAATTGAAACAATAATTTATGTGTTCTATATGGAAGCAAGAGGAAATTGTTGTATTGTCCAAGATAACTGTACGTGATGTATTTCTACTGCGAGATGTTTTACGATTAATGGAGGTGATTGAAGAATTGGGTTTTAAATTTCCTCGAATCTATTGAGACTGCTGGAGTGACAAAAAGATGAACTATATTTTACAACTTCTGGCTGTACCAGAGATGTGAGTGGATATCAATTAACAAAATATGTACTTAAAGTTCAAGATAAGTAAGAATAGTATTTAACCCTGAGGTATTTCTGGCGACTGACGATGTGTGAATTTTTACTATTTTCTGAAGGGTGGGGTTGTGAAAATTTATTAAATCTACTCTACAACAGCTGCCGGACGAATATCTTCTCAGGTTCCTCATCTTATCGTTTTCGTATGATATACATACAGTCTACGTAAATATATATACATAAGATTTTTGTATATTCAGTACAATAAAATTAATGTTTTTTTCCATCTTTTGTCATCATTTCAATTCTATTCTATTCTATTTTTTGCGTCTTTTAAAAATTACAATTATTTCGATAAAAAAAAATCACAAATATAAAGAACTGAATATTCTATCTTGGATTATTGATCCCTCATTAATAAAAAATTTGAGTTCCAGAAAAATCATTTAAATGGCTCTAATGAATTTGGCTGAATGAAAAAAAATATATTATTTTATTTCCTATTTCCAAAAGATTTTCCGCGATGTTTTAAATATTCTCCCTCATTTCAATGCTCGAAACGAAATAAAAAATGAATAAATGAATCCATGAGGACTAGAAAAAGGAAAGGTAGAGGAATTAATCATAATGAACAACAGAATTTTATAATATAAACATTTCTTATTCAAACGTATTCTTACATTTACACAGTACAAAAAATTATACTCAAACCTCCGCCGGCCCGCGGTTATCATAACTGCCATGACTTTGAGAAAGGGTCGGCCGATGGTTATCAGGACACTGGGCAATAGGTAATCACCTCCTCCCCCCTAATTACGTTTCTCCTAAAGACTGTACACACTATACACCTTAATCCATACGTAATTCCACTCCGCCCGTCCCTTCGTAATCCACCCCAATCATCCAATGCATTACCTATTCACACGCACGTACTCCACGTATTTAACACCCAAACACTCACTTTATGTATCCCGTCGACAATAAAACGTCTGCACCCCCCATTAATTTTTTTTTTACTTTTCTAATTCCCTTTTCCACCTACTCGACATATTCAGCAACATTTAAATATCATGTTCTTCTCCTAACGATGAAATCGTGATAATGATTACATTAAGAATGATAATGACAATAATCCTATCTATAGACGCGTGTAAATAACTTCATTCCCTAAATTCCCCTTTTCTCCCCTCATCGACTGGAGTGTGACCTTAAACCTTACACCTAGAACCTTCATATTTATATATGTATACGTATACATATCGATGTTTAAATGTAAGACTCCCCCCTGCCATATGTACAATATTTATCGATAAAACAATTAGTTTACCTGCTGATGATGACAATACACTGAGAACGTTGTCCCTCAATTTACCTCCAACATTCTCCCAAAAATCTTTATACACTCTTCTTGAAATGTACCCTAAAACTGGGAAAAAATTTCACACGTTAAACATTTATGTCCCTCAAGTCGTTGTGTTCGCTAGACAATTACTGAGATCAACGAAACTGAAAAATTATCATCCAATTATCCAATCGCACAATGTGCCTCCCATTGTTTATCCAATTATCTACACTGTTAACACAAATTTTGGAATTTTCGGATAAGTTCCAATTAATCCAATTTGAGGAAAAAATATCTGGAGTAATTCAAGTTGAAATTCTTGAATTTTCGCGGATTGAAAAAACGAAGATTTTTCAATCTCCACAATTTCTATAAAACTCAAAAATTCACTGAATATTATACTTCCCAAGCATTTTTCTCTGAAAGTTGTGGATTTTCAATTCCCAGTTTCCGTGAAATTTCTAGAAACTGTGGATTCATTTATTCGATATTTAACTTCCAAAACTTTGAAAATTCATTCAAAATTTCTCAACAGTGCAGATTCTCAAAAAAAATTTGAATGTTTCATCCCCCTCATTAAAAAAAAGTATAGGAACTCATCCCCAAACATCTCTTCCCTCTACCGCTCCATCAATGACTATGAGCACCCCTCCCAACCATTGGCACTTAGAAACCCCCTTTTTACAAGAAAAATCGCCTCTGCTGTACAATAAAACTCCTGCTCACCAAAATCTTCATATTCAATCACCCAAAGCTCTGCCTCAGTGACAACTAGATACCGAATAAACATATAAACATTTAAACAGAAATGTCAAGTCCAGCTGTAAGGACGGCATAACATCATGTACCAGGATAAAAAAAAAAGAATCTAAAACTCAATAATGAACCGAAAACAATTCCCTGTACGTGAATTTCCACCTAGAGGCAGTGTTGACAAACTCGTAAACGCAAAGAGTCTCACAAAAGAAAACCTTGACAGTCACACGGATTTATTTATTCATTCAATTGAAATAGTCCAACAGGGCAACACGATGATGAACAACGTCAAATTGCACAAAGTTCATTAATCTGTACACACACACACTCTCATCGACCTCGAATCATGAATTTATTACAATATCATTATAATAACACTATCCTAAATCATGTATCTACAATTACAATAGAAATAGACAGTGTGTATTGGATACAGGCACGATATAACTAATTACAAATGATTTTTTTTTCATGATCCAAAAGACCCTCTGGTATCACAATAATATTCTGAACGTGGGGACTTTCGCCCCCTCGTCCCCAGTAAAACCTAAGGAAAAGGAAAAAAAAAAGTGGTGATAAATCTCATGGACTTCATTGTCCTTAACCATAACTGAAAGTAGTTACAACCGAAACTATTGAATTTTCTCATCATCAAATAACTGAGTTGAAGGAGATAACTCAGAGCGGATAAACAACGCATAACCGTTGGCTCAGCCAACCGAGAAACTTAAAAAAAAAACCGAGAAGAAAAATCAAACTGATAAATCGTTACTCCGCACTGTGTAAATCGTCGTCAAACATATCACAACAAGGGCTGGTCCTCTACGAATGAATCGTCTCCATTGCCGGAACACAGTCCCACGTCTGCTACCCTCGAGGTGCCCAAGGGGGGACCACCCATGTCCCCCAGCCACTGAATTTCTTGTTAATCCATCAAACAAGAAATGAAGCTTCAGAATCTGGTAAAATCAGCCTGAACCGAGTGAATATTTCCTGGATAATCTCACCCCCAACAACTACGTCTCCTCCTTAACCTCGACCTTTCCCTTGAGCTTCGAGATTGCCTCCTCCTTGGCATTAGCCAATACCGTAAGGGCATCCTTAACAGTATGATAAATAATATTCTTAATCTGCAATTTATCCTCATGATTGGTATGTGTATCAGACAGTGCTCGAAACTCCTGAGTAAGATGAAAGCAATGAGCAACATTCTCAGGTGACACAAAGTCCTCAGCAACCTTAATACAATTATGAAGATTTCTCACTTGATGTGGTGCACCAGCTGGCACAAAAACAGCATCACCGAGACACTGAACAACAGCATAACCCTCAACTCCATACTGCTCGTACAGTCTTTTCCTGAGTTTTCCATCAAGATAAAAACTCTGATCGTGAATTGGATCGTGATGTGGTTCGAGTCTTGCTCCACGCTCAATGGCAACTGCATTGAGTAGATCCCTTATTTTATCAGCATCACGAGCTGCATAGATATGCCAAAGTGCACCAGGTGCCTCGCCACGTTCGCGCACACGACGTTTAGTCAGTACATCACAGCCAGCCTCATCGACAGCCCTGAGTGCCTCAGCAATGTGTTGCTCTTTATCACTGTCCTGCGGTATCCCCACATAAACCATAACATTGACAGCATCAGAAATATCAAGATGAAGATTAGTGGTGCCCTTATTGGAGTACATGGCTGAGCCATAGGCATTATACATTTTGGGTCCAAGATCAGGTCGTATAAAGCACGACGGTAGCCGGCTGGCAAGATTGAGTCTTCCATCTCTGTGTGTATACTCAGACAATGGAAGGACTTTCATGAGATCAGCGAATCTCGATGGCAATAATTCAGCAAAATCGTCACCCGGTGGCCAATCCTTGAGCTTCAGCAGCATGGGATTGCCCTTGTCATCCTTAAGCCTTTTGGAGAAATTCTCGAATCCCTCCCAGAATTTCTTCATTGGTTGATTGGGCACGAGATTGCCATTCATGCAATTAACGAGATCGTTCTTCTCATCGCCAAAGTCTCGTGCAAAAGCGTCGGGATGCCAAAGGTCCATGTCCAGTGATTTGGAGACGTCTGACACAATAACAGGCTGCCCCCTCTTCCACTGATCCTGGAATATCCTGTAGTTGTTGATGTTGTGTGGATCATTGAGCTTGAGGAGTTTACCATCACACAGCCACGAGTGTGGCACATCTGGATAAAGGCTCTTGCTCTCGGTTAAAGTCATGATTCTAATGGGAAGGGGCTCTCGACCGTGCTGAGTCCATTTGTATCTTCTCACGAAGTGCTTCAGCTCTCTGGGTTTGTCATCGTTGTCAATGCCGTCTTTTTCCTTCTTAACGCTGTGCTCTATAACACTTGATATTACCTCATCCAGTGTATCCATCTTGGATTTTTTTCCAGTCTTTACGCTATTTTGGCTGGTATTTCCAGGCTGATTTTGACTTGTTGGGGTATTTGTGGGTGAATTTGATCTCGAGCCACTGCCGTTGGGCTTGTGTGAGGGTCGAATGAGGAGTTCTCGTAGTGTTGAATAATTACCATCGCGATCCTCGTCGGAATCTGAGCTCGAGCCACTCTCGTTCTTGTCTTGATTCTGCAGGGCAACATCTGCCAACCAGTTTAGAGGTGAATTCTTGTCCTCGCCGTTGGTCTTGGCGTCTTGACCACCGTTTGAGTCATTCTGGGCTTTCTTGTCGTCTTTTAACTCCTGCTTGATGGCACCGTTCAGCGTCACAGGTTCACCTTTCACAAGGGAACGCAGCACGTCATTGAGTTGAACTGTTGTGGATTTTACTATTGAGCATCCACAGTGCTGGGGTATACCCCACTCAGCTCGTGCCTCGTGCAGCATGTGACCGATCTTTGTTAGGCTATCACCGGCTATCATTTGGGTCAGCATCAGTCTCTTTGGCTCGTGGACCTGACGATTTGTGCACAGCAGCCACGAAAAATCGTCACAGCCTTTTCCACCTTCTCCCCAGATCTTTATCGTTCCATCCTTGCGGCCCTGAATGGAGCATTGAATTATTGGGTTAATATCTTTGATTTTTTATTCTCAGATTTTGTTCAATAGCAGAAGAATTTCAGTGTTAAAAAGCTCGTGATTGTATTATCATGGGATTTCAATCTGTTTGTTTCATCATTTTGGAAATTTCTGATCTTAATTTTCAATCAATAGAAATTATTGGAAGTTACAGCGAATTATTCAATTCATCCATTCTGAATGAAAAAATATTTGGAGTGAGAAAAATAACATACCTTGTAACAATCAATGCAGACGACGAATCCACATCGACCACAGGTCCAGTGATAATTGAAGAGAGTCGTTTCGCAGACATCACACAGCTCTCGAACTCCCTGAATGACTCGTTTCCAGGCCACAGTTCCGTCTACAACCCCCGAACTCGCTGTGAGGTTTCCATTCAACAAATTGGGGAAAAACAAAGCATTTAATCCATGCGAACTAAATAAACTTAAATGAAATCATGATCTCAGTAGCGAAGAGGTAAAGGGTAACAAGTGGACGAAATTTTTTTCAAGACCTCTTTTATGGCTTTCACTGAGAGCTACAAAAATGAGCAACACGAATTTCGGTAATCTTTTGTCTTCACAGATATTTCTTGCAGATTCATCTGATGAGTAAATCCACTTATTATTCTTTACCTCTCCGTTATTGAATTTTCAGTGAAAGAAATCTGTCCAGGAATTGCAGATTCGAAATGAAAAATCCACCAAGTGATCGAAATTAATGAAATCGAATGAAACTGATAACTCATATTCATCAATATTCATAAATAAAAATCAGGGGAATTCTCCTTCAAAATAATTGAATCGTGATGTTTTAATTACCTTCTGCCATGTGTTCCTGCAGTGCGTTCTTCTCCTGATGGAGGAGATCACAAAATTGATCACCGACCTGCCTTAACAATCTGCACGCCATTTCGAGATCCAACGGTTGTTTATCCGCTGGTTTCTCGTCCCCATTCTTCTCAGGCTTCTCATCCTTACTGTTAGACGATGGCTCGTGATTACCCGGCAGCCAGAGACGAAGGTCTTCCTGCAATGTTATGTCATCCCTTCTTAACTACTGACTCACGTTGGTGTGCATTACACGGCATGAGCTAACGTAACATCGTGAATCATTCACTTTCGAACAATACGAACGAAAGACGACAATGTACAGCACGCGGCTTTTGTATCATCGGTTTTAATTACGGCGAGACGTTTCTGTCAGCAAATTATTATCAAATCAGGGGTCAGCTTCTCTCGGGGATACTTTTCTAATGCATTTTTCATAAAGAATCATTCTCATTTTCTTATCCGCCAAATTATTATTAATGCAATGGCAGAATAATTATAAATATTTTTAAAAAAAATAGTTATGTCTTGCTTCAGTGATTCTTTTTTTTATTCCAACTTCGATATCTATTAGTCAATTGCAAAAGTGAAATCACCGAAATTTCAAATTTTGTTCAATATCGATTAATCTACAAAATTATGAATTTTATAGGGTAATTTCAGAGACCTGTTTATCGAAAATGTGTTCAAGTATTAAGATATATCAATCTTGAATTGATAATTACGAAAAGTATTATCTCAGTCATAGTACAATAAATAGATTAAATACATAAATGTTGAGGAATTAAAATAGAATAACGAACCTCGGAAGCATCTTTGTGTGGATCGCTGTACCCAGCAATGGCCAACTGACTCTTTATGTATCGTAGCCTCCTAAATGCATAGAATCTGCAGAATATATTTTTCGGTAGTTGGGTTTTCAGTCGTTGGTTGGGTGTCATTCTGCACTCACGACACTTGACTAATCTCGGTGCCACAGTAAAACAGGGACTATCCTGTAGCCAGCTCTCGCCAGTTTTCTTCAATTCTAGAATCGACGGTTTGTAAAATGGATCTGTTTTGTCACTGCCGTCCTGTCCATCACCACCACTACCGGTGCTCTCATCACGTCGTTCTTTTTTTTGGCGTGGCTGTTGTTCTTCACCCCCCGTATCATTTCCCTTCGACGACTTCGGCCGTCTACCGCGTTTACGTGGCTCCTTGTTGTTTCCTAATACGAAATGACAAATTTTTTTCCTTTATAAAATCTAGTCCCATAGCGGAGAATTACCACTTAAGACTAATGGAGTTTTCAGGGTTAAAAAGCTCGAAATATAACATCACAGTTATTCAATCTTTATAAAATGTTTACATCATTAAATAGAATTAAATTAAATGTGAGGTAATCCACACTAAACTGTCTATTCAAATCCTCTTTGATAAATTAACTAAATCCAGATTCTAACAATTGGAATAAAAACATGAATGTTATCAATTAAAAACGAATTATTTCATGAATTTATCATTTTTTTTAAACATTAATTTCTCTTGTCATCAGGAATTAAATAAGAACACACGTTGTACTAAAATAAAAAATGAGGAAGCTCCCAATAATTACCATTTTCAGACGAATTATTGGAGTTAGTTGTTGTATGTCTCCTAGAAGTAGGTTGAATAGTCTCACTCTCATCACTGGCTGAACCCACCTCGCTCTCATTGCTGGAATCACCCCCACTAACTTGTTTATCCTCCTTCCTCCTGCGTTGTTCATCCACCGGTGTCTGTTGTCTCCTTCCAGCCCCCTTCTTTCGCTTTACCTACCACAGGGCACAGATTATTAAGTAGTCAGGAAGTTCATGCTCTTGTACGATCTAATTTCTAACGTCTAACAAATTTATAACTAATCAAACAGCACAATTAAAGCGTAGAGAGAGGAAGGCGTCACTCTCAGGACTGATTACATTTGGATAATGATGTAATCAGAGCACGCGTTCTTCAGACAAAGAATTGAGGTTAGAGTTTATCTCTGGACAATTGAGTGGAGAAAAGCACGGTATTTTTACCTGACCAGTCCACTCCATTAGCACAAACACTGGGAGCTCCCTCAATCATCAGAGTTATTGACTATTTATTACGAATTTTAGCTGCCAATTGTCGGGATTTACGAATGAATTAACAGGACTCTCATAACGACTTTTGTCTTGCCACCTGCATCCAACAGTGTACGTGAGTGCGCGCGTCAACGTAATGGCAGATATGTTACGGCGCCACGAGTAATTCATTTGATGGCGGAAAAAATTCAAATTCATCACATACGATAAATTGTTCTACACCATATCAGTCAACAATATTCAACAATGTTCCGTAGGACCCGAACATTTCAGTGGCTAAAGAAAATTCAGTGGCAAAATGATAAAATTGAATTTAATGTGTTCCTTCATTCGTGATTTATCTCGGAAACTGTCAACACACGGCGAACACGTTAAACAACTCTTTCTAACTGATTAATTGAATTTCCGATAAAAAAGATCTTTTGACGCTTTCTCTTGAAGTGAATAATTTTTTTATGCGCCTCGATTTTTCACTAAAGAATGAAATTGGGAAATATATTCAAAATGATTGGTGAATAAATTTGAAATATTTCTGTCGATATAAGAAAGGAATTCGATAAACGAAAGATTTTTGCAGGCCAGATATTATATTAGACACATTCACTGCTCAAATCTAATTGTCAAGCCTCATACAAGCTCTCATGCTTTAAATCAAACAGCTGCATTCTTATTTCCTCCAAAAGCTATTAAACATTAAAAAACGACAAGTCTCCTACAATCAGGAAAGGAAAGGACAAAACGGACACTAGAATTTGTTGATCTCTTCAAAGCCCATTCACACCTTCCCTCCTAGAATAAATACAACCGAATTCATTTTTCCTCAATACCATTCAATAATAAAATCTCTTTACTCTTGTTTCACCCCACCTGATGAATATAATTAGAAAAATATCTAGTGTCCGTTTGCCCCTAGCCCCCGTAAAAATCAGTCTGTGTAAATAGATACCTTGGGAGGTTTCCTCTTGGGCGGAGACTTCCTCTCAGGATCACTGCTGGACGAGTCCTCCTGCAGGCTCTTGCTGTCCCCCCCATGGCCATTGATCTCCTTATTGCCAGGTTTCCTCCCACTCTTCCCGGTAACCTTACTCTTATTTATACTATTAACTGCCATACTCCCGATATTGTGTATAGAATTAACGGCACTTGTCAGACTAGTAGTCGTACTCTCTCGTTCCTTGAGCGGTTGTGAGGGTGCTTGTGCGATATTGAGAGGTAACGTGACACAAGACCCACTGCCAACGACCCCCGTATTATCCTCAGTTGCGTCCTCCCCCGAATGCCTCTGCAGCCATGCCTTCTTCAGTTTGTGAACAGGATAATTAGTTCTGCTGGGCGGTCTTGGTGCAGGACTATTGGACTTCTCACTGTCAGTAGCTGGATTTCCCTTGGCAGGTGTCCCAGGTGCGGATGCAGCGCTGGGGGCTGGACTTGGATTCTGAGGTACAGGACTCTGGGCAGGTGCTGGACTCGGTGCAGCACTGGGAGTTGCACTGGGATTCAAAGAGCCGACACTTCCAGTGCTCGCAGGCCTGACAGATCCATCACCACTGGCTGTTCTCGGTGCTGGACTGATGGACACAACAGTTCTCTCCTGAGTGCTGGGTTGTGGCAGCAGGGCAGTATTGACGACAGTTGTGATGGAGGTGGCGGCTGAAGCAATCAAAGGACTTGGCTCACTGACCCTCGACAGGACTGGCGGACCCACACACTGGAGTGACAGTGGCTGTGGCTCCTCAAACCTCCTCTTCTTGCACTCAAGTGCCACAGGCCCTCCATCATTCGACATTGCCTTTCTCTTAGGTGATGACGATCTCTCGACCCCCAAATCCAGGGGCTGCGTCTGGAAATTCGTGTGCATCGTATTGATAGGCGCTGGATGCATTGGCTGAACAGTTGTCAGATGATGGGGATGAGTGACAGGTCGTGGAGCTGATGCTGCTGGTGGTGAACTGTGAAGTGGAGGTGGCAATTTGGATGATGGCAGAGATGCTGGAAAACGAGAATCGTAGAGCGGCCCTCTGCTGTGTGCGGGTGGTGGTAGATGCTGCGGTGGTGCCCCATGATGATGAGGCACTTGCTGGTAAGGCGAACTCCCTGCTTTGGAGGTGAGTGGAAGGGGTGTTGCTGTTACAACTGGCTCAGCACGACAGACTGGTGTACCCGTCATTATTCCAGAATTTGGTTTACCATATATATGAGGTGGTGCTGGACTGCTGACTTTTGGTTTTGAGCCTGGGGTTGTGGGATAGTGGGATGTGGGCGAGGCATTTGGTGGATGAGGATAGGAGTAGGCGGATTTTGGGGGTACGTAGGGGATACCAGGCTCTGGCCTGCTGAGGTAACGGGCTTCTGGGGGTGAGGGATGAGGGGCCTGGTGAGGATGGCCATGGGGAGACTGACGATTGTGAGGATGTGGACTGGGGGGTAACGAGGGGCCTGCTGGTTGTCTGTGATGACCTGGCAGACCTTTTGACTGCAGGCTGTCCAGGTGATGCAGGTGATGAGGACTCTGCGTTGGACTGCGGTACTCGTACGTCACTCCCTTGTGACCCTGGGGCACCTGAGGCTGGACATTCAGATAGGACATCATCTTTGGACTCGATGAGTGCGGTGGTCCCACCTTCTGGTGCTCTCTACCCTCGTTCTTCACTATCACTGAACTCTTGTGGTCTGGAAGGAGGGGTGGTGGATTTGGCAGTAATTCACGAGCGTGATGATCACGATCGTGAGACAAGGGCTTCCCCTGGATTGATTTGTGCTGGAGATCGTTTTTTGATTTTAATTCGTGGATATACGTGGGCTGGGTTTGGTACGCTGAGTAATTGAACAGACTGACGTTTGGCTCGGCTTTTGGAAGAGGTGGACCCACTACCTGGGGCTTGTCGTGATGAGTCGGCACTGGCAAGGTAGATTTTGAGGTACGAGAGTGGGCTGGCGGGGGTGGGTACTCGACTTTGCTTGGTACACTCGATGGTCTCAATACCTGGAGAACAAATTTGTCATCACAATTATTTTTACGATTTATTGGCTTTTTCAGAGTTATAGTTGAAGGGCTTCCTATTACAATACCACAACTCAAAATATTACCTCAAAATCATTATTTAACAAATAGAATAAATTTGGAGGTAATTCATAAGTTATTGCTCAACAATCTATCATTTGTAATCTTTACATCTGATGTTTAATTAAGAGAGAATATTAGCAGGATTTGATAACGTAATGATAGTTATGTACTGACCTGTTGAGCCGATGATGGTGCAGTGGCTGCATAATAAGCAGCTCGTTGCTGTGCAACAGCATGATCCCTAGCCTCGGCCTGTCTGTGTAGCCTCTCAGCAGCGGCCAAATGTTCACGCTCACGTTCCCTAGCTTGTGCATCACGTTCTCTCTCCCTGGCGTCTCTCTCCTCCCTATCACGTTGCTGTTGCTGCTGCTGGGCAACCGTCACCGAGTGACTCGTAGCACCACCCGGATGATGATGTCCACTGTGACCAGTCAGTCCACCGTGAGGGGGTCCAGCTGGATGAGATCTACTTCCTGGTGGTGGCAGTGGAATAAAACTGTTCCACGCCATTGAGGCAGACTGCATATTTCTCTGCGGAGCATAAGATACCTACTTCAATCAATACTGCAATCATTGACGTGTGTTATTAACTGGGAATAAGGAAATGAGTCCATTTATTTTTTTTTCTCTTGTTCTACTAATGAGGTGCGGGAAAATGGCTTGAAGTTTGTTTTTATTAAATCATTAAGATGCTGGGGAGCATCTGACGTAGAGAACCAGGAAGTGTTATCATGACTCGCTGGATGTCACGGAAACTAATGAATCACTCGGTTGGAGATTATTCATGCATTTTCAGGAAATGAAATTTTTGTATACTCAAGCAAATTCGAGATTTCTTTTGACCAGTGGGAGAGTATACAATTTTTTTCTTCTTACCGCAATCCCTGGGGCTGATATAGCATAGTTATTCCGAGAATGATTTTTCAATAATTCCATAGAAATTGTAATAGCCAATAAATACAAGTGGACTCAGAATAATGGTGAATGGAAAATATGAATTTTCCTCGATGGTTAAAAAAATAAATAACGAGCTACGTAATCTTGATTCATAATATCGCAAGCCTCGCAACTCATTTCCACGTCAGGAGCTAATGAATACTTCATGCTCAATTTCATCGTGAGACCTTGAGACAATAAACAGACACGATTGTTGAACGAAAGCGTAGAATTTACGTGGGTGAGAATAATAAATAAATAATTTCGAAACTTGTCAGTGTGCCAACAACGGTGAGTATGAAATTCAATGGTATCGTTATCGTAAGGACAAAGTTGAGGCACTAATGCTGATGCATATATGTTGTAATTCATGTACGTGCAACTGTGCCTCGGGGTATCCCACTTAGCAGCCCGTCAAGAGCGAGAATCTAATTATAGTATTCGCGTTGAGGAAGATTACTATGCTAATCGGCCCACGGGTTTGCACGGGCGAATGTCAACCCACATTGTGTTTGTTCGTGTCTTGCTCGTGTCATGAACGATCTTGACAAGTTGTCACTCACTTTTGAGTTCAATATTTCGATCAATTCATTTTCCGGCTTCATTATCTGAAATTAACTATTTTTATCACCACCGTATTATCCTGGATTCAATTATTCCGAGAATGCAGGTAATCGTGAGATTAAATTGTTCATTGATGACGAACTCGAGGAAATAAATTTTTTAATGCGTCTAAACTTGTTGTCTCTCTTGAATTTTTATTACTACTTCCATTTTTTAACGACCGTATGAAGTCATTTTTTTTTTCTTTATTTCCTACCATAAAACTTGTATGCAAATATTAATTCGGAAATCTTTTTGGGTTATTAAGTTGAATATGATTCAATGCAGAACACGTTTCGCTAATGAATTCATTGTGGATGATTTTCTTTTATAATCAATCAAGACTTTTGTCGCGAGTTATTAAGGATGTTTTACACCCTTTCCGCCAGAATGCACATTTTTTTAAATTTTCATCGCAAAAAAATTGAACATTCTTGCGCTTTGTCATTATTTAACGATTCACGAAGTCTCGACGTAATGCAAGCATTTTCCTCTGTCTTTATCTCATCACCGCGGAATTTCGGGAGCCATTAAATAATGACAAAACGCAAAGATAATGCCCCAGAAAAATAGAGATTAAATTCCAAGGTTACTGGTTCCTTGACAAAATGTCAATTCCACGGGAAATGAAAAAACTTTGAGAGTTCAACGACTTAGTATTGCCAGTCGAAGGCATCTCCAAGGTCGAATAAAATTTCTCTTCCCCCATAATAATGCGTATGTACCGCGAAATAACCCCAGTATCATGTGCCTTATCTTATCACCTAAGGAGGCACGTACGTGGATATTAATGTCAGCAGCAAACAGATAACCAACTGATAACTCCGGGACAATTGATAAATCGTGTTGAATCATTTCATTCGACGTCAACGATACCAGTGAAAAATCCAACATTGAGGAAAAATAGTTGAAGCAGAATGGAGTAGCACTCCGATAGTTACAAGATTGATAAAACGATTCTTCTCGTATCGTGTCTGATGATCAGTTGATAGTGATTATTGTCATCTGGCAATTCGAGGGAATTCTGCGCCGGAGGTGGAATGACAACGTGACTTATACCGGGGGAGAATGATAGGGAAAATACAAATGGAATACTCATTGAGAAAATAACGGGGTACGGACGATCACGTTCGCTGTGGAAAATTTATACTGCATAAATTTTCTGATTCCAACAATAAGCGTGCGATGAATGGCAATTTTTACGGTTTCATGATGCAGGGGAGAACAGCCGAGAAGATTGGAATTTCATTTCTTGGGGAGTGAGATCCAATCATGACGACAGAGTTTAATCTTTGAAGAATGGAGAATCTACTGTTGAGAATTTATTGACACATTTTACGGCGTATCTTCAAGATTTTTAAAGTCTTATTTCCCCCCCGTTCTCATAAGTCAATAGGATTGACTTATAAAAACGGGGAATTCCGGGAGTAAACTGGTTGAAGCTTGAAAATTTAATTCAATGATTCCATGGAAATTAACACGAGTGAGGAAAATTCCGTTTTATTATTATTTTTAGGGAAACGCAAGTCCCTCGAAAATTCCAGGGAATTGTGAGGAAATAGCTAATTTTCGATTAAATCCATGAAAATTACATAAAACCATGGAATTTCTATTTTCCTTTCTCCATCAACTCGAACGAAAAGTAATTCTCCAGAAAATAACTTGAAGCCCGTCTCTGGAATTTCAATTTCTTCGTAGCAACTCCGAGGGGATGAACGTGAAGTAGACAAAAGCTGGTGTCTATCGAGAACCACTGAGTCGGGGATTTGTTCAAGGAAACAATTTGTTCGCCAAAAGTTTAGACTTGCAAGAAGAGCAGAGACTCAAGAGCAAATGGTAGACGGGGACATGCCATTGGGAGTCTCCATTCGCCGGGTTAGTAGAAATAAATGTAGATTGTTACCCCCCGTCCAATTACTCGGGATCAAAGTTCCACCGGGTGCTATTGCTACAGAGAGATGTAAAAAAGTCAATCGAGGGGAGATTAAATTATAGAAACCACGACAATGAGATACGGGGGAATTCATTAGTCTCTGAAGGTCACATATTCGAGGAGAATTTGGAGCAGATGGTGGAATTTTTGAACTCTGAACGCTTTCATGAATTTAATATCAAATTCATAATGAGTTACTCTCGAGAGTTCCGTAACCATGCATATGCATGCATTGAGGATGAAGGAAGGAAGTTAACGAGATTAGGGTACCGGAGACTCTAACTTGAACTAATCTGACTAAAGTCTACCGTTACCCGACTCTACCTCCAGGGCTTTACCTGTAAGTTGTATATATACCCTATTACGTTGGCCTCTCGACAAGTTGACGTAATTATTTCACGTGTTGAATAACGAAAATAGTCTACTCTCTCATTCACCGGAAAGTTTCGACTTTTTTGTTCAAATGTTCTCCTATTGTTTTATTGTGAAATTTCAGACATGTTGTATTCATTTTTTTATTTTATTTTATATTTGTATCTTCATTACTCTTTGTTTCTAATTTAATACTACATGGGTGAAAAATTACACTTGGAGTTTTCAAGTAAAAAAACGTAAAATTTTGTGAGGATTTTTCATGGAAATTTAATTTTAAATCTAAAATTCTGAAATTGAATATAATTGAAAAATCAGATGATTTTGTGACTGAAATTTCAAGAAATTTTTAATAGTGCAGATTCCATTGATTATTTCAATGGGAATTGATTTCATAAGAAGATGTTACTGAATTAGTCTTTCCGGAGCAATAAACCTTGAGATCCATGATTAATATCTCCCTAACAGAATTAAATAGCCCTTTAACTGAAATAACGACTGAGCAGTCCATTAATTCTTTCATTCCCGTTAACAATGGTGCTTTCAAACCAGATCACCCAATTATTTCGACAACGTGAAAGAACGCCGAGAAAAAGATAATTTAAAAAGTGTGATAATTTAAAACCGTTGCTCATGGCAAATTCCTGGAGCGTCACCTGCTCCCCAGAATGAACGAGTTGAACCAAAAGATATCCCGAGAAACTCGAGTGAATCCCACGAGCCTGTCCATTGTTGGTCTTACCCATAGCGATGTACAAGGTAAAACCCAAGAGTTGAGTGCATAATTAATGCCGCGACTTGGCTTTGTACACGGTGTTGGGTTTGCATTGCAAATTATCAAGCGAACGAGACGTGACACGCGCGCCTCCATGACGACAATAAACAATGAAAAATTTTCTTATTTCCTGGACTCAACGTAGAGACTAGAAACGACTCACCAGTTATTTATTTGTTTCAAGGCGAAAGAGAACAAGATTGCCAGCATGCAAGTGAGAAATATGAACTGGCATTCCCAACGATAACGAATCCACTCGTTTCACCCTCGTGGGGTCACATTTGCCTCGATATACATCACAATCCCCTATCACCGGAAGAATCTCTCTGTACTTTGTTGGAAAATTACTCTTGAATTATTATTACACCTCGCTTAATCCTGGTAAATTAATCCTCAGTTAAGGACTTTTTTTCATGCTCCCTTTTAGCAGAAATTACCGGTTTTTTCAGCTTCCTGATGAATTGTTGATACCACATTTTTCTATTTTATTATTATTTCATATTCCATGAAGTTTCTTGCGCATACTATCATATTTTTTATTTCACTTTGTTTTCAAATAAATTTTATTTTATAAATAGTTTATGGAAGAAGCAATCAGAGTAGGATTGGAATGAAAAATATTCAAAGAACTTAAATATCTTCAAACTAATTTCTAATTCAAAATTAAAACCAGCTGTTCCTTTTTGAATTTCTAACGCATTAGAAAAAAAAGAGAAAGGGTCTCGCTGTAAACTAATACGAGGAAAATGCCCAAGGCTTGAATGACCATGTAATGAATGAATTTTTAATTTATTTATAAAACGCCCACTAGCCAAAATATTCTATTCGAAAATTTAATCAAAATGTAGAGAGAGTAATCCCATTTCATTAAATTATTCCGTAGAAATCAATAGAAATCATAAAAATTCAGATACCTAGGCCTTTCCCTTTAACTCCATGAAAAAATAAATAAATCAGAATCAGCTGTTTCTTTCTCAATTTCGCCTAGTCCATTTCGAAAAAAAGAGGAAATCCAAGTAAATAGTGAACTTTGTCTCTCTCACACCAAAACTTTAAAAATTCGAATAGAAGTGAGCGCTGTAATATCTGAACCTAAACTTTAAACTCGTCATACCAAAAATTAAAGACCAGCTGTTCCTTTTTTAACTTCTCCCAACGCATTAGAAAAAAAAAAAGAGAAAGGGACGCGGAGTAATTTATCCCATGGAAAATACCTAAGTGGGGATTGCGGGGGAAGAATGAAAAATTAACGATAAAAAAAAAGGTACACATATACCTGGATCCGAGCAAGGTCACGAGATTGTAGGGCCAACGAGAGGGAGTGAACGGTAAAACCCGGGTAAGTAGCAGGTACGTTCGTGAAAGACTGTGGATAATGTTCAAGGGCAGGTAGACTAGGATCGACGGGGGATCTTCGAGGCATCGAAATCCCCATACCGATACATGAAGAGATCCGAGAAGCGTGCAGAGAGGAAACACGCATCCCCTTCCGAAGTTTCTCCTGGATACCATCACGCATGCACATATTTATTTAAAAAAAAAAAGTGTGCGTGCAGTGGCTCTGCGTCCGACAGGTTTTGAGACCATTCAAAGTCGAAGGATGAGGGTAAAAAACACGTCCGGACAAAAGGCAGGTGCTGGAATGCACCGATTACTCTCTTCCCGTCGTAATAGTCGTGTTCGATTGTTAACCGAAGGCAAATTAAGTCGAAAAATGAAAGTCCGGGACTCTGGTGTTGACGTCATTACGAAAGTAACAGAGATAGAAACAAGTTTTTAGTTTCAGGGACTGGTTTCTGGCTTTTTGAGATCCGTTCTAAATTCAATAGGGGAATGAAGGAACTCGGGAATCAAAGATTGGAGATGATTCGATGTGTCGAAGGCGAGGAGATAATCAACCAGATTTTCATGAGAATGAAGATAACTCAAACATTTGTATTAATTAAAAATTTTTCTCTCATTCTTAAAGATTTTCATATTTGCAATTAAAAAGTCATTGCGATCCTAAAGAATAATTACGAATAAGTTTCATTCTGGAAGTTTTTAAAAAATCCACTGGCCTATCAACAAATAATCGAAAATTTCAAATTTATATTAATGTAGTTTTTAATGACGGAATAGCTCATTTTTACTGTAATGTAAGTCAAAATGGAAAATTGTCGAGGATTAGGGGCAAACGCCTGGGGGTAATTTTTATCTCTTTGGAGGAAGAATAAAACGTAATGAATCAGGGTAAACCTCACCTTTTGTTGGGCAAGCCTGAGGGACTCCTCGAAGTGTTTGTGGACAGCTTGCTCTGCAGCTCTCTGTTTCTCGAGTCTCTCACGCTCCATTTTAGCTTCTCTCTCCCGTTCGCGCTTCTCCAGTTCACGCACCTCGGCCTCTCGTCTCTCCCTGTTGGCATAGATAAAGAATAAGGGTCAGTCGGTTCTCCACATGCTCAAACTCCCATCAAAGTTTATTCAGCGGATAACGTGTCTCACAACTCCAGGAGTTGTTTAAATTCTCACGAGTTGTACAAGTTTAAAATCGATTTCAAATCTTTAAGTGGAGCATTGGTGAGGGTATGAAGCCTCTAGTGCCTCAAAATAGCCGAACATAAAATTCAATAACAGAAAGTTTCACGCAATAAATAAACACCGATCGATGAACTGAAAACATCATTTGTGTACAAAGTTTGGGGGGAGCTCTGAAACTCGTAGAAACTTCCAAGGATACGAAAACTGTCTGAGACTCGGCAACAGCCAAAGTTTCTCTAGTTTCAGGGTTTATCCCTCTACTGTCTGTTTTCTACTGAAGTTGGCCCCATTTTACCCTCATGAAAACTCGTTAACTCATCACGTTTTCATCATGTAGGAAGAATAAAGTTTTAATTTTCAGGGACTTGTCTCTAATTTTGATAAGTCCAGGATTCTAAACTTCCCTGTCTGAACTGCCCTAAAATCGAAAAATTTTCTCAGCAATTCCCAGTGACAATGCATGAATTTTCCAAAGATATCTCGAATTATCATGAATCGAAGAGAGATAGAAAAATTTTGTAGAGCACTTTTTTGCATTTTTTATTGCTCTACAAAAAAGTTATGAGAGAAATCTCGCTGTCCCTGTCAGATTCCCAGATATTCGGCGAATATGACTTCTTACCCTATACTTTTTCGATCCTTCTCTTCGGTATTGAATTTTTCTGGAAAATTTTTATCGAATAATTTCACGTATTTTCAGGGCATGCGTGACGTTCTCCCCCGTATGAGTTCCCAAGAAACTCACAGTTGTGGAATTAATAAAAGAGAAACGAGGAGATAAGCATTCATCAACACTTGCGCAAGTTATTTACACTGTTACGTGGCAAGTCCCCTCGGGCTCGTGTTAATCGCTGCACTCTGTTGCTCCAATGCGAGCTCAATCCTGCATTAACACATTGCACTGCAATTACAAATGCATATAGTCGCATTGAAAATACAAGAAAAAAAAAACGCGCGTGATATGTGGATGCGACGAGTGAGTTCCGATGATTTTTATCTGAACACCACCTCTAAGTGAGTGAGTGAAGGTAAATAACCTCATTGCCCTGGAAGTTATCATTTTTTCTGCATTTTTCTACAATTTTTTCCCATTCCCCAGAAAACTGCGGTATTTGCGAGTTCTCAATCAATTATTCAACACGACATTGACAGACAGATGAGCGAAAAGGCAAGCAAAATAAAAATATTTTGTTATTTATTTCTCCATTTATACCTGATTACGCTCTTTACGCATGTTTTCATAATTGTCACGAGTGTTGTTGCATAAATTTGAAAGAGTAAATAAATAAAATTGGATTACTTGAGAAGCGCATGTTGCGGTGAAAAAATAAATTCAAGTAAATACAAATAAATTGAAATAACAATTGAATTGGCAAATTGATTTCATCAAGTTTTTTACATCGTGGCAATTTATGTAAAGAGATGAACAATTATAATTCCATTCCATAATCTAGCTACCTGATATCGAAGTGAAAAAATTTGAAGATCATGCGAGTCCCTTTAATATCCATCCCTATCAAGTATTGAAAATGTTTGGCGAAAATTTATGTGTTGAAGAAAAATCTTAAAATAACCAAAGACAAGCAAATGGTCAAGTTCCAAAAGTGAGGAAGGCGAAAAAAGTTGAAGACCGAAGGTCACGCGAGTTCCTTTCGCTTTAATCGGCCAACGAAATCAACGGAGTCAAGTGTGGTATAAACTCGTCTCCTCATTTTATTTTTTGCGTTCCCTTCTCTCGGGTGGAATGAGACGGGAAACAAGACCGGTCGAGTGAGAACCAGTGAGACGATAGCATTTGAAAAATGACGGTCCATACCCCCCCTAACCGGACAAACGAGAAGTGAAAATAAACCGACGAGACACGAATTCACCAAAAAAGGTATTAACGCATCCTCGACTCATTTTGTATCCAAATTCACATATCTTCTTTGATTTCCTCACTCCAGCCTCTATTTGTTTACGGATTAAATTACCCCTCCACGATATCAATCAGTTCTCTCGTATTTACGTTGTGCATTTCTTAGATTTCTTACGTACGTTTTTCTCGGAATGTAAACAGAGAAGTATGACCGAGTATGTGTGTGGCCCGACTTATATCGACCTTGGAACTTAAATCCTACATTTAATCTGCAAACTACCGATCAATCTCATTCCATGTTTGTCCCATTCTGTTTTGTTTAGGTTTTCACTGGCGATGCAGACGTAAATAAAGTGTTGAACCTATTCCTACGCTTTCTGAACAGCTGCCTTACACTCGATGATTTCCAGTGACGCAACCGTTTTCATATCACAAATCTATTTTTCCGAAGAGTTTATGGATATTCACGATTTTCTGAGAATATGAGCATTAGAAATTTGGAGAAACTTTAAATTTCAGATTCCTACTGTTGTTTCATTGAAATTCAGGGATAAACCTACTTGAGTGTTTATTTATTGAGTTATAGAAAATCTGGTAGTTTATTTATAAGTTGATGTTGGAAACTTATGGAAATTGTGACTTTTTCGTATGCTTTTTACTTCAAGGATATTTGACAGGCTTTCAGTCAGAATTCACTTGAATAATGAGAAAACATGTCCGGGGCTCTTATAAATTCCCACAAAATTCATTCAAGTCCGTAAAAAACGCATGAGATACTTCTCCAGCTAGAAATTTCTAAGTCTTACCGGAAACTTCAGTGGAAAATTGTACACACGACATGCGGGCCCATTCAATATTTATTTCCCGACTCAATCACCGATGACGAATGTCGACCCGTAAATGCGGGTAGTTTAACGACGTGAAATAAGAAAATTCAAACGAATAAAGTCGCTGTTGTACAACACAACAAATTCATCCGGGAAGATGACAAAACGTTTTTCCCTCATTTGCTCTCATTAATTTTGATTATCCCCCGGAGAGTTTACGATGGGGAATTGACGTCTCGTAACTCCTTCATGTAAATCGCCCCCTTTTTCCGGAGAATGTCAGTACACAAGGGCACTTGCCATGGCAGTCACAAGAATCGAAGTCCAAAAGAATCGATTGAAAAAAAAAGGGAATTGAAAGGGGAGAGAAAAAATAGCGGGGAGAGATAGAATTGATAGATGAGGCAATGTCGATACCGAGGTCGTGGCTTCGACGTATTAGGGGGGCAGGGGGGATGGGGGGGTTCGATGGGGAGAAAGGAAATCGCGGACTAGAACGATTGCTCCACCTCTCCCCTGACCCCAAAGGGACGAGTAATCGTCCGTGAATCCTAGGGTGAAGGGGGGAAAAATAATCCCCCAAGCCAGACAAACATTTTTCACGTCCACGGAGACAGAAACGAAGCGATCATTGAATTCTCGAGGAGGGAGGGGAAATAAAAGGAGAGGTTGATGACCCCCTCCGACTGTTAACTCGTCTACTTTAAAAATAGAAGCGTCGAGGTCGCCTCTGAGGCTAAATTTCCACGGAAATGAGGGATAAAAGTATCGAATTTTGGGTTTTGTAAATTTTTTTGGATCTAACATTGAAACATCGGTGGTTATAATGGGAGTCTGGGAGATTGGAACAAAGACGGACATTCACTCGTTATCTTTTTTTTTATTTTCAGCGGTGTCTTATACTCGCTATTTCCGTAAACACGCACTTGGCGAAGCTCCAGTAGTGCAATTGTTGAGTTTGCATTGATCAGTGACTGACCCAAACGTGAGAATTGTTTTATCGAATCATTGTGGAATTTATTCTGACTCTTGCATGGGAGTTTTGTTGGATTTAAAAATAAACAACGCTAATTTTGCGCTGGGAATTTATCAGGCAGTTATCAAAATTTGTGGAAGATGAGTTAAAAAATTTATTCATTTCATCAGTGAAGAGTTGAATTAGTTTTGAATGACTCGAAGGGGCTGAAAAATGTTAATAAATGTTTGAAAATACGAACTGGAGAACAAATGTGGGCGCCACCATTTTGTATTCAGATCAGTTTCCAAGATGGCGACGCTCACATCTCAATAGTTTTTTTTTGCAATCTCCAGGCTTCTGAAATAAAAACTACTCTCAGTGTAAAATTGAGAAAATGACGTAAGTCAAGTCTGATCTATATATTAATTCGCTGTATTAAGATGGATAACAATTTGTATTCCACGTCGACGAGATGACGATCTCGGCCGAGTATCTCCGAAGCCGCCCCCGTCATCGGCAAGTTCTCGCCAAGTCGGACAAGTGCCAAAAAGAAAAACTAAATACTATCCTCCTTTGAACTCGGTACACGAAAATCCCATTACAACCTCGTAACTCTAAATTCCACCCGATCTCAGACTTGCGTGGGCAATAATCGTAATTTTTTAATAGATCTCCAAGCGTCTGGCGTTTCAATCCCCGAGGTCATTATTACATTCCACCTATTCAACCTTCTACACATGTCTCTCACGACCTACCGCACGATGAAGAAGGTAACAACTGCATTTTGAGATTATTTCGGGGATTTGGCTGACATGTTCGATAACCGCAATGGAAGCCCGATAGGAAACTACAAGCATCGATAGCACACATTGAAACTTGAAATCAATTTTTAATTACCATTCATACCACCCAAAAACCGATCGCCCACTCGAAATGCCATTTATCGCGGACTTCCCCATTGCCGATATAATGCGATAGATTTTGACTCAAATAACGTTCAATAATTTGCAAGTACAAGTAAAACTTGTATGGAATTTATTGGGCATCGTGAAATACAGGAAAAAATAACTGAACAGTTAACATCCAATAGAGGATCGCTTTCCGTTGATGTTCGTAATAAATCATCCGTCAAACAAAAAATCGTAAATGACGAATAAAAATATTTTTTATGCTGACGATGAATGTTCCTTGCCGCTCTCAATGTCTCAAGTAAGTGAACTCGATGGAATTAT